CAAAATATTTTCGGTGCTTGAAATGGATGAACCATCTAGACATAAAGCCGCATTTAGTACAGAGAAAGGTGGTTATAAATGGACACGTATGCTTTTTGGATTCACTAACGCCCCATTTATCTTTCAAATAGTTATGACAGAGATTTAAGGAGACATAAATTGGCGGTATGCACTTGTATATGTTGATGACATAATAATATTTTGTATAATTTTTAACGAGCTCCTTCAACATCTGAAAAATGTATTTCAAAGTCTCGGAGAAGCAGGCGTAACATTGAAACAGTAACAGTAAATGCAAATTTGCAGCAAAAATCGTTAAATATATAGGACATATACTATTCAAAAAAAGTAGGGGATATTTGATTTTGGGGGCATAATACTAAAATATGCAAATGACTACGAAAAAAGTCACTATAGAACCTAACAGAAGAAACATTTCCAGTTACATGTGACGCCCAAACGCACCAATAGCTACCGCATGGAATGCAGGTGATGCTTGGGATCATCATGGGGGTCCAACCCAAGATTTGCACGACTCTGACTTTGAATGTTACAGTCATTGTGGCATTGAATTCCAGGGTGGAAACATCAGTTTAATTGTTTTAGTGACCAGAAAACAAATTTTGATATGCGTCGGCTTACCCAAAATGAAAGGTTACGTGCCCTTGGCATGCTACAGATCGGCACAACACAGGCGGTTGTGGCGCGGACGATGAATGTTTCTCAGTCTGTCATAAGCAGGCTATGGTCCAGATACCGTGATACACAATCTGTACAGGACAGACCACGCTCAGGTCGACCAAGGGCGACAACTCAAGCCCAGGATCGATTTATCCGTACCTTGGCCTTGAGAAATCGTGTCATCACAGCAAATCAGATCAGCGCTCGTCTTCAAACAGAAAAATGTCGCACAAAGTAGAGTGGCTCCAGACAAAATGTTTTAATCCATAGTCAACTCATTACAAATTCGTGATATTCAATTACAAGAAAAGTAAAATTAGTGTTTTATTAGGGCTCGATGAAAGTTAGGGAAGCAAAACTAGAAATGCCCGAAAAATTTCGGATTTATAGACAGCGGCGCCGGTTTTCTTTGAGAGGCGAATGACCCGCCAAGAAAATTTTGGAATATTTGACGGTCGCAAACGCGTTTTACTGCTAGTTTCCTCTGCCGCTTTCCGGCCCGATGCCTGTTTTTCGGGCAATACCTATTTTCGGGCAATACCGTTTTTTCGGGCATACCTATCATAAGAGAGCTTCGGGTATATTTTCGGGCATATGCATTGGACAAGAAAAAGACGAGAAAATACTTTTCGGGCAGTGTGGATCTCATAGAAATAAGTTAGTTATATTTTTTCTCTAAACGTTAATAGAAAAAAAAGGTCGTCGAATTTTTCATTGCCCGAAAATAATTTTTTGGGGGGCCCCCTTGCCCCCCCGGCTCCTACGCCTATGTTCTGGTCCCTTGTCAATGATAACAAAAACTCTTTAATCAATGATTATATGAAATCAGTCATTTAAATGTTTGATTTACAATCAAATTTTAAAACTTAATTTTAATCGTTGACGAAAAGGAATCTAGTCTTTGATTAGCTAATCTGACTTTTGAGAATGCCAAATTTAGTCAACTACTAATCTCTAATGAACTAGTTACTGTCATAGATTATTTCAGGTACAGTTAGAAAATATGGGCCTAAATTACTTAAGCAGCATTAATACAGAGAGAGAGAGAGAAATGGGTTTAACGTCCACTCGACTCAAACTAGGTCATTTCGGGACTTACATACATGTATGTTTTAATTTTATTTCAATAATTCGCTTGCGCGCAGGGGTCTTTAGCATTGGGAGGAAACCGGAGGACCCGGAGAAAACCCACGAGATTGGACAGGCACCACTACTCCTTGTCACGTACAACCGGGGATTCGAAACCACGCCAGTTGACTCAATGACAGGCCTTATGATACAGCAAGCACGTGCTACCATTCGGCCATCCAATCCCCCTAGCATCAGTACAACATTGTATGCTCTTAAGCATGGATGTCATTAGAAGCCGGCAACCGGCAAATTTCGCCGTTTACATTAGGCCAATTTCCGGCTACTTTTCAGCTAAAAAAGATCAGCAATTTAATTTTAATAAAATAATTTGGCATTATATTAATTGAAAATAATTTAATTCCTAAACGCAAAGCACACAGACGTATCAACTAACCAGTTTTTTCCGTGATACTCAAAGATTTACGACCTTTCTCCCGATATCCCGCACGGAAGGCTATTTCTCACGGTAAATGTTCATAATTATGCCAATGCTAGTTTTAGTTTCAAAAAGGGAGGTAACCCCCTTACTTCCGTTGTATAAATGGAGGCAGACCACCATTAAATTTCATCATCTCGGTACCCCACGAATTGTAGTTCGTCTATTTATAGCAATTCTCTCTCTCTCTCTTTTCTCCCCTTTTGTATGCCCATTTGTGTTGATTTTTTGGTCTAGAATGGATGAAGAGGGTTTGAATTAACATTTTCTGCCAGGTTTTGGTAAATATTCATGATTTTGAGGCGGAAGGATAAGAGGGTTATCAGGTTAGCTACGGCGATATGTACGGCAACTAGTTACATGTTTTTAGTATGCTTCTTCAAGTTTGTGTATCTCAAAATTTTGGTGGTCAACCTCATACAAATTTTAGTGCAAAGACATGACCATTTGTTCCTCTGTCTGTAGTGGAAAGCATTCAGCCCAACGAAAATTTGGGGAAAAGTTGGAGGTGGGCAAATAGGCCAGAATTAACATTGAAGTCAATGGGGAAATTAATGGTGGTCTGCCTCCAAATCGACCTTATGATTCTTATAAGTATATTGTAATCAATAGGTACATGAGCGTACCCAATCTGTTTCACAGAGAATTACGAGTCTCGTATAATATCTCTGTCATACATGACTGCCTTAACACGTGCTGTCACAGCACGCGGTGTGAATCATTGGCTGAATGGCGCGTGCATTGTTTACATAAGACATAACTGCTTCGGAGAGAATGCTGCATTTTAGTCATTTTAATACCCATTTACACTAAATCGGAAATAATTTTTAACTACAAATACGTCAAACGCCTTTATTTATTTTTCCAATATATGCAAAAAATGTTTTAGAATTTAATTCGTCGCGGGAAAAAAGTTAATATTTCTAGCTCATTAATAAGCCGCATCAATGTCATCCTTATCAGTGATTGTCGCGGCCAAGCAAATATTCACTGCGGATCAGTGTGGAGCGTATCTAATAAAATAGAGACCTGTATACTGACTGTACAAGGTCCGTTCCCTCACGCTCATTTTTCCTCATGGCTAGTAGTAAACGTCTATACGATTTTGACAGTTCTCCCGTGAACAGAAAACGTTTCACGCTACGTGACTTGAGCGTGAAATCGGAAGCCATTGGCATTGAGTGATTGACTGAAATTTAACTGACTTTCAATCTGCGATTTTAGATTACTTTTTCGTTTAAATAATATTACTAGCGGTTGTATTATAATGCTTTGATATCGATCTCAATATACGAAAATAGTCGGACTAAAAAGTTATAGAAATATAAGCGCTATTACTGTTTATGTGGGAGGCACTTGCGGGAAAATAAAACTCTGATGTCACGTTTCTAGGGATTTACATTCACGCGATTACACCCATAATTAGAAAACGGGATTTATTGGTTTTGCAGACTGAAAATGTGCTAATTCCGAATAAATGCAGCCTGCCTTTTATCTGGTATCATGAAGATTAAAAATATTTTATATATTTTTTCAAATTGTTACGATTTTATAAGTTTTAGCAAAGCCTAAACTAATATTCCAGTTTTTAAATCGGTAGACGTGCAATTCTATAATAAGGCTTATTATATCTTAAGACTTTACTCAGATATGACTGAAAAGCACTTATTTAGATTATTAAAGTTTTTTTGGATAGAGTTTTTATGTATATTTTCACAAAATGTTTTAAAAAAAACTTTCTGTCATTTAAAATATTGACCCGAAATGCACCTAACGCCATAACACACTCCCCACCCTTCGGTTTGCCCGCAGATTCAGGCCTGAGGCCCTAAACATTTGCTGCCCCTTACTTTAGCAAAATTTCCTGTTACTTGAAAAGTTAGTGACATCCCTGCTCTTAAGCAGTCATTGAGTGCAGTGAAACTCATAGAAATGATGTTAGAATGAAAAATAATCCTGGACAAGACAATTTAATCAAATCCACTCAAACGTCATTATGTGACCCAAAATATGATCTTTTTCACCTTTGAACTTTAAAATCTGGAATTTCTGACTAAAATCGCGAAAAAAAACCCCATGTTATTATTAATTTTTATTAGAAATTTCATATCATTATTGCCCATTTGTCAAGTAAACGTTTTTTTTTTTTAATAAATATGCATCAGTAGTAAAAAAACTCTTTTCACTTCTATGTCATTAAATAATCCATTGTGGTCCAGAAAGTTCATTGAGAATTTCTGGCGTGGTTCCCTTTGGCAGTGGTGCAGGGGGGGGGGGGGTGTCTGCCAACAGACAATATATAGTCCTTCATATGGGACAAAAAACATGGGTCCGAGGTATGTAAAAGAAACTGTGACAGTGGAAATCTAAATAAGAGCAGGCTGTAGTGCCACTGTCTGGGCAAATTTGCCCCATATAACACAGGATTCATCCTTTCTCCTCAAAACCTTGTTGGCACAGTTGAGTCTTAGGTTTTTATATGCACCTATATTTTCATTTCAATCGGAAAGGATGAACTCAGCTGACTTTTAGAAATCTTGAATTTTCTGTTCCAGAGATATAATGTTTTAACATAAGATAACGATTAGATTTCTTGGAAGGATCCTAGATCCTTATTAAATTTGGTCAACATCCAAGGTCCTTCTGGAAAAGCTGCTGTTGAGACATACAGGTATGAGGTAGCTGCTGTGTAGCCATAGGCCTATTTCCATGATTGTCATGAAGTTGTGTGGCTTCTTCAACGATAACACTCTATTTCTAAAATAATTTATTTTTTCAGCTTATAATTTTATGCTTCTAATTTAATTTTATATAATTGTCATGAAGTTTCATGACTTCTTCAACGATAACACTCTCAATTTCAGTTCCCTTTTTTAAATCTTCTTCAGATAATATTATAGGGTTTACGGTTTCTGTTGTCACAAGAGTAACTTCCCTTTTTCGTTTTTCCAGTTCATTGGCTATCACTAACTGATGTTTGTATTTGTCTAAAGCTTGTTTTGATTTTGAAATCAGCAATCTACTATCGGTTTCTAGTTTAAATGAAATAATATAAGCTGAGGGTAACCAGTCTTTCACTAATGGTTCTAACATCTTTGGGACTAACTGTAATTTAAGTTCCAGTGGTCCATTTGAAGACTGTATTTTGTGTTCACTCATGTCAGCTTTAGGAATGTAGAAATCTGACACTGCAGCAGCTAAATAAAGCATGACAGATGTTCCTAGTTTATTTAGTCGCTCGCAGGTAGCTTTCAATAAATGTAGATAATCACCAAGTGATGTAAACTCTAACTTGAGTAACAATTTCTCATCTTCTATTGTCTTGTACTGTTTTATAATCTTTGCTAAATGGTCTTTATTCTCGTGTTTTACTATAATATCTCCTGTAGATGTCAATTCTAAACTGTCGAAAAGGTCTCTGTTTAAGTGTCTATAAAATGGTTCCAGAGATTTGTGTCGATGTAAAAATATAACAGCATAGTTGTTTTGTAGAAAATATTCGGCGGATGTGGAACCCCTTGTACCAGAGCTAAAGTTGTCAATAAATCTAACGGTTCTACTTTCTAACGGCACAGTTGTTCCTCCTGAAGTAATTAGTATGATTTTTCTATTCAGACCAACTTGATGTTCAATGAAATCATCTAATTTTAAGCAGCTTTCTTCAAATTTGTCTGGAATTGAAGTTTGACTAAAAAATAAAATTTTATCAGTACTTTTCGACGCCATGTTTCTTTGCTGTTATTTAGAGTTATCTCCCTTTGTCTTAAATTTAATTTGCAGTCCGTCTGCATTGGTTTTGCACGTCGTGTATAATTTATTTCTATGAACATAACGGGATGCAGTTTAATTAGACATAATTCCATTGTCCTTGAGTTGACTCCAGCTCTTTATTCCAGAAATCACAAGTACGGCATGCACACCGTCTTAATAATGCATTTATTATTTACTAGATGAGTATATCTGACATCGCTAGATACGACCTTATATCAGGCCACTCATGAGTAAAAAATCAGTAGGTGTTCAGCTTTGATGTAATCATAAGCTTCAATACCCGTTAATAAATTAAGAGAATAACGTACAGGATTAGTATGGGCAATTTGATTAATTACCGGTCTATGTGTTTGTTGTTGCACCGTCAGTATCTGTTGTCAAGTATCCATGACAACCATTGATAATTTTAAGCCACACTGGTTCATTTCAGGTTCAGAAAGCAATATGGAAGAACTGAAGATTTGAATAACATGGTCGAATTTTGTTTAGTATGTATATGATAACTATAGAAACGACAGGTAATAATTATTAGATATCAATTCATATTAAGCAATATGGATTATAGATAAGGCCTAGCTAGATTATTAAACATACATATGCAAGAGCTAAATCTGATTATTGCAAGTCTTTTTTTAGGCTTCAGATGTCATAGAAATTATAATTTAGATCTTTATTTACACAACAACTACAAGCACAAAATCAACTCTGTAGACCCACGGATGGCTTGGATTTAAACAGGATTTCGTTGATTGATTAAATTTTTAAATGGCGTCTTAAGCGGAGATTAACCGTTACGTTGACGTCATACTCCCGAAAATAATTTTAGATCGAGGCTATAATGATAGATTGTACGAAGCGAGGCCGCTGTTGAGCAAGGCCGCATGTCAGTCAATTTGATTGAAAGTTTGATAAATACGGCCTTGATATAATGTTTAGTTGTGGTTAAAATGAGAGTTTGGATGTCGGTATTATACGCTCTTTTGTCACTTGCGTTTACAGAAAAATTATAGAAATTGATAAACATCGCAGCTAACATCACCCGAGTTGAATTGCAGCTCCATTGGATCACTGTTCGTGAGTTACGTAGACCTACCAGTTACAGTACAAGAGTACACGCAGGCTAACAAGAAGTCGGCTATAATTATGCCTCATTGATTTGGTCCATTCCTTTCAAACTTTCGCTTCTTATCTATATATAAAAGTCTTATTTTTAATTTGTAGTAAAAATAAATGGGATACGAATTGAATTGCAACCCCGTCTCAAACCACAGCCATTGAAAACATTACTTGAAAATCGAGATTATGTAGGTGGAGTTAACGCCTGTCAATCAAACGATCGGAGACGGTGAAGAGAGATTTGACTCCTAGATTTCTAGTCAAAAATTACAATAGTGATAACTTTGTTCAGAATAAAGTAATTTGACTGAAATTTTCAATATATTCTTCTTTCATCATCTATTTTTGAACTGTTATAGCAAGAATGGCCAACTCTCTATTAAAATCTCCCATAATGTATCTTTAATAGTATTATAGATTGAAATATTAGTCCACAGACCCAGGAGGTTGCACACTTATTTATACCTTCACTGCAATAGCCAAGGAACTCCTTTCATACATGGTTTATTTATAATATCATTAGCCAGATAGTGATGCATAATGTCGAATGTAGGCCTAGGCCTATCAATATATTCAGGCCTGGCTTGGCTGCAGAGGGGCAGCAAACATTTTTCTTTTGAGGGGGGGGGGGTGATGTCTGAACACTTGATTTTTACCCGTTATCTATCCGTGTTTCACATTCAAATGCACTCAACTATACTTATGTTTGACTAACCACAAATTCTCACTTGAAATGTATTGCCTTCGGTCTGAAATTATCTTGGTTGCATATTTTCTATGCAAATCTCCTCCACCAGAATTCCATATAAATAGACTTCTGCTCTGACATCCATCAGATAGAAAGTGGAGGGGGATCAAACAAAAAATCTTTTGTTTTTATTTAAAGTACTATGAACAATAGGATAAGGACAGTAATATATCAATCTGATTAAGGTACAGATCTATATTTCATTACGATTTTTTTATACTTTCAATGGTCTTACATGAAGATCTGGCCAGTTGTAGCGGAAGGTCACATCAGCGGCCTTTGACCCTGTGACGTCAGAGATTTGTTTAACCAATCAGCGTTGATGTTTCTTCTAGTGGATTACCCACAGTTCCGTGCACCTCATGCAAAAACACGCCGTAACAGACCATTTCATTGGCTAATCCCTTTCATCATCCAGAACCCGGGTTATATAACAACTAGATAACTTCCAGATCCTAATGTAGTAATGTCAAGTAAAACAAAATTTTGAACTATAAAAAATGAAACGAATTAGGATCTATGTTTTAATCAGATTGGTAATATATCATTTGCTGAAATAAGTAGATAGAATCAATTTTATTTTGTTCCAGTTAAAGATACATTTCCGCGTACAAACTGGGTGATTTGATGATATATTTGGACTAAAAACATATTCAAACTAATTAATTTCTCATAATTTTGCTTCAAATCCTTCTCAAAATATTGCAATTGCCAAGGAATACCTTTACTATAAAAAAAATCGATCAAAAGAGGTCATGTTTGTGTCACATGACTTACCTCTCTCAGTAGGGCGAAGTTGGAGGAGAATTCATTGCATACATAAGACGATGTTGTCTTTAATCGCTTACTATTTATTACAAATATCGAAGCCTAATTAAATTCTCAGATTATCCACTGCCCAAGTTTTTTTCCGTGGTTTTTAATTCAGAAACTGTTGTACGTCAGGATGCACATGTCAGATTTTTAACAAAGCCTTTAATCTTGATATTGTTATTGTATAGCCTAATTTTTAATCATATACGTTTGGTGAAATATGCATTGCAAACAGTCAGTATTTAATTAAAGGGGCATTTAGGTAAGATTAGATAAAGAGCTGACAGTTTTGGCTATAATACTAATAGTTAAAAAATAGATAATGAAAACAGAATATGCAGAAAATTTCAGTCAAATTGCTTCACTTTGAACTGATTATATTAGACAAAATGGCCGCTCCATGTACGCAAATAGTGTAAAAGTATGGTATATCAAGGTTGTGGACCCTCTTAATGGTCACATTTTTATTCGATTTTGATGAAACTTAAAATATGTTTATATACCAAAGATCTATAAGGTTCCTTTCGATTCTTGCTCTTATCGGACCGTAACTGCCTGGATTATGGCCCCTGATTATACGAAAAATTGCATTCGCTGTCATGCTGACTATCTCTTGCAAAATGTGGGCATATCTTGCATGGCAACCCCTTGTTTTTAATTTTTATTATTTTGTCGTTTTTTCAAATGGCACTTGAAACCATTATATCCGTAGAATACACGGCTCGAGTACCGTAGTGGTTGTAAAATGTTCACTGTGTGGACTCTTGATATGAGGATCGCATATTTCACAGTAAGATAACAACATCAATATTGGATTCTAATTTGTGTTTTTAATTTCGAATATTATGGATAATATTAAACTGGAGGTTTAGCTCCTTCAAAGAGGCGTTATGGGAGAGGTAAAGTTGCATATTGTCAGGCGTCGTTCTTGTATATAGATTATTATTTAGACGTTTAATCACATGCCAGCCCATTATCAATTCTCATAGACCATCGTAGAGTTAGATAATTGAGTGGATTATAAAATGCCTGCCATATCTGCGTTAAGCTATAATATGGCCAGGTTTTGGCCAAGCATAAATTTCTGGTAATTCGAATGACATTACTTATGGAGACTGCCGATAAAGAACAGACAATTGATAGGGCGTCCCCCATGGTCAGACAAATATGAAACAGACAATATTTGGGGCTTATTTCAGCATTATATGAAAGGCTTACTATAAAAACTTCATTCAGCAATAATCAAAGTCTGGCCACGTATTATTTTTGAGGATATAACCATATTGTCATTTTTTGAAAATTGGTTCAAAATATGATCGGGGCGCATTATCCAGGCAGTTAACTCTTAGTGACAAAATGAGTTATGATCTTGGTCACATATTTAGATCTACACCACTGGAGTGAAAATTTCTTCATCACAGCTGGGACCATTGAATTTTCGGGGATCACGTGGCTAAGTGGGTAAAATGCTGGCTCGCTAGCTTGGAGGTCGGGTGTTCTATCCCTGCATTGGCCGAGAAAATTATGCCAGATTTTTCGGCGTGGTTTCCTCTTGTCAGTGATGCAGGATGGAGGGCCTGACAAAGACAGCTGTCTAGTCGTTTGGATGGGACGAAAAATTGAGGTCCCGTGTACACATTGGCGTGCACGTAAAAGATCTATTGGCAGTTGGAATTCGATATAAGTGTAGGCCATAGCGCTGCTGCCGGGGCAAAATTTCCCTCATAGCACATTGTTTGCCGTATGCCCGTCTTCATTAGTCTTCATTTGATTTCACCATTGAATTTTCAACATCTGTAGGCCTATGCTCTATAAATCTAATAATTTGAAACTTTAATTTTAGTCCCACAGATAAAAAATATTTGTACAGTATTATCCTTGTTATGAAAAAAGAAAAAAAAACACATTGCGGGATAAAGTATGAGGAAATTATAATGGCACTTAATACAGAGAGGGAGGGGGATAAAGGCCTATATATATTTAATAATTTAACAGTTTATTTTTAGTCCCACAGATACATAAATATATTGTGCAGTATGATGTAGTCTGGAAAATAAAGACTACAAGTAAACATTTTGTTTTGCTTATTTTTCCAGTCTCAAATAAACTCACTAAAACGGCAACTAACCACAATGTTTAACGGTTGAATAAAGTAAATTTCACACTCTTTCGGTGGTGTTGGTAAGTTGCCGCCTGAGTGAGTTTATAAGATAGAAAAAGAACGAAACTACATGAGACGACTCTGAACCAAGAAACATTACAATGCATACGTCAATAAGTAAAGAAGAATATTTTTTCATGGCTTCATAAATAAGTTAATGAATGTTGTAACGTGAATGCCTATTTTGGGCGAATGTTTGCTGCCGGCACTGCACAAACAAACCTGTGACTGAACTTTTCTCATTCGCTGTTGTTATGATTAGAGCAGAAACAGGCTAAACGACAGGTTAGTAATTAAAGCACAAATATTTGAGGCTGTGAATCACCCTTCAATTGAAACGTTTAATATTTTGGCAATGGTACTTGAAAACAGTCTAGGACAACGCGATACTTCACAGTCGAGAATATATATATGAACTGTTTCCCTTAAAAACGCATTATGTAAGATTTAGAGAAAGGGTTGGCCATTCTTGCTATAATAGTTCCAAAATAGATAATTCAAAATTAATATATTGAAAATATCATTCAAATTACTTTATTCTGAACGTTATCATTGTTTGAAATTTTGACATAGATTGTTTATTATCATAGCAACATTACTTGTTAATCGAGACTCAGCCTCGCTTCTCCATTATTTTAAATTAAATCATTAAATGGCAGTTGTTTATGTCTGCACCATCCGATGATCTAGCTAGAGAGTTGATTATAGGCTTGTCATGTGAATAAATGTCTTAATAATAATTTACATAATATTTGAAGCCAAATAAAAACCTGCAATAGGCAGATTTAGATCTTACATAATGCATCTTTAAGGTTAAATTCTTTTAACTTTAGATTAAAATAAAAATGAACCTGTTTTATGTAAAGTGATTGACAGTTAAGTTATCAAAAAATTGTGAAAAAGTGCCTATAGTCAGCCTATAAAGTGCATAAATTATTCAAATATAGTTCAATCTATTAATCTTTTATTTTAAAAGTATTTTGTAATTATCTGATAAGGTTTCTATCCTGAATAGAAAATAAATATCATTGCTTAATATCTTCTGTTTGATTAATTGTGTTTGTTATCAGCCCATTATTACAACATAGTTGACTTGTTTATCTTGGATACAGCTAGGCTTATTATGGACATATATTTTACTGTGCTGGATGAACAAGGCTTAAATATTATTTGGTCATACATGAATAAAATAGGTCAAGCATGACTGAGTTAACAGGTATACTGAGTTAACATTCACTTAATTGTATACCTAGCTAGATGTTGTCTATTTAATAGTTGCAGGCTATTTCAATGTATATGGGGTGATATTGTGAAATGGATTTAAGATGTTTGATGTCGACATGTAATGGGTAAGGCTATGTGTATCATACATGTATGGATGTCAACATCATTTACACCTGTCACATAACAAGTGAGTAGCTGAGAGTATAAATTTAAGTTTATATATATGATTTTTGATATTGTGTTTATTATAATATTAAACACAATTCCCATTTAATCTTATTACAATGACTAGTAAATTGTACAGGTAGTTTGTTTTGAAGATATGTCTGTCTTATTGACCTAGAATGAAATTGTATAGTTACATATTATATGTATTTGAAGATGGATTATTGACCTCAAACAAAATTGAAGATAAAGTATGGTAAGCTTCTCTAGGTTTAATGAAATTATATGGAATATGTGTGACTTTCCAAAATTGAGTTAGTCGTTAATTGGTATTTTTGAAGTCTACCCTGCCCACCTGCATAATTAACACTTGTCATTATTATACTATAATTAGCTCGGTTATTATCTGACTTTGACAATTTTCTTATTATTTTTGCCTTCATCATGAGTTTAATGTTTTAAAATTGCATTTTAGTTCATCAATCAACTTGATACTTATTAATTAACCAACATTTATATTGTTTAGATATTTAACATACCAAAACACTACATACTCCCAGTGGTTCTCAACCTTTTTTTGCCAACTGAACACCTTGGAACACATGAAAAAATAGCGGCACACGAACAATATTTGGATTTTGCAAAATAAAATCAACAGAGACATAGTCATAGACACATAGAATGACTCGAACTATATAAATAAAGAAAAATGCAGAAAGCTATGAAATTATCAGTAGACACCAGTGAATACTCAATTGGGATCACATGGACATGGTTTTGCACATTTTCTAAGTGTGCCGTTCAAAATTTCACGGCACTCTTAGGAAGATCTCACAGCACACCTGTGTGCCACGACACACTGGTTGAAAATCACTGTTCTAGAACTACAATAAATGTTTTTAAAATTAACTTTATATAGAAAATAAGAGACAGGAAGAACTTTCCAAATTTCTTGAATTGGTTCCACCTTAATTACCAGGATTGACATATATTGTTGGATAAAATTACTGCAAATTCAGAAATTGGCAGGATTTTGTGTAATTGAGAATGCAGCTTTTAGCAATATTTGTCCATATTTTAGTTACTGCAAATTCAGAAATTGGCAGGATTTTGTGTAATTGAGAATGCAGCTTTTAGTAATATTTGTCCATATTTTAGTTAATTGTTCGATATGTTTCCTGAGGCATTAGGAAATATTCATTTTATTATGATTGTGAAATTGACAAATTATATAAATTTTAACATTGCCAATAGGACTACAGCGTATATGAGGAACACCGATATTACAATATTTGACATACTTTATGCAAATCAATTATTTATGACATATTAAATGCAGTGCTCAAAACATTAAGCAATAGTTTGTGAATATGCTGTGTATATATATGTGTATATTTTAATTGGTTGTGGTGGGGTTATTCCACACATATACATTAAATATTGCGAAATCTCATGTTGTTATAGTACAAGGTTATAATATATAATGACATTTTTATGGAGCTTGTGTTTTGTCTAATATGAATAGGTTATACAACAGGTCTGAATTTATAGCTATTAATATGGAGGGATATGACAAGTTATTTATGAAGCACCATTCTTATTAAGAATAATTTGATTGTTGTGAAATTCCTATGGAATAGTTTGACAGAGGTCGACTACTGGGTGTTTTATATATTTTGATATTAATGATTCTCGTTAGATGAACGATAGATAGTGACTGGTTTGTTATTTATCGTTGGATGAACGATAGATAGTAAGTGGTTTGTTATTTATTTAGTTCTTTGCTTAATGTATTAATTGATTTATAGTCGGGAATGTATTTTATTGATTATGTAAAGGATAGTAAATATAGAATAATAAATATATATATATAAATAGAATAAAGTGCTGTTGCAATATATGTATTAAAATTAAAACAGCCATACAAGTGCTAAATCTGCCTATTACAGGTCTTTCTTTGGGCCTTAAATATTATATAAATTATTAATTAGACAATTATTAACATGACAAGACCATAATCAACTCTCGAATGCCTCCAGTTTTAAGTAGATTAGAATGGTTTGGCCATCTAATGATTTGATTTAAAAATGGAGAAGCGAGGCTAAGACTTGAATGACTAGTACGGTGGTTAAGATCAATGCACACATCTTGTTAAAACTACAACCGTTGATAACTTCGCTCAAAATAAAGTAATTTGAATGAAATTTTCAATATATTAATTTTGCATTATCTATTTTTGAAATCTATCTTACATAATGCCCCTTTTTCTCAGAGAGGTATACCATTCATGATAAGAATTATATATCCTACATAGGTTGCTTAGATTCTCCACTGATTTGTATGTCAGGAGTTGGAATCTCAGCGCGATACAAGAAAAATCAATGAGGTTTCTCAAGCCGTGTTCACACTTGGGATTGCATGCCACGAAAAACCTTGACTGTTTGTTTTTAAAAAAGAATAGACCTAATTGCAGCTTTTAAGGTCAAATTCTCCTCCGTTGTCATTAGAATATAACCGCTGGTAATGTGGTATGTTAGTCTCAAAATTATTTAAGTTAAGTGTTTATTGGATCTTAAACCCTTGAATGTCGACTTTGAGTCTAAGTCGAGTCTCAAGTTGCAGACTTTAGTACTAAGTCAAGTCGCCAGTTCATCAAATGATCGTCGGCAATTCATGCCAAATAAGGCAAGTTAAAGTGTTAAGTCCCCTCAACGCGACTCTTTAGTTCTTAAAAGTTATGAGTTGCCACACACAAAAGCCAAGTACAAGTCAAGTCGAGATTAAAATATGTCAAGTCGCAAGTTGGATATTTGATGTGACTTAGGTCTGACTCAAGTTTCCACCTCTGGATGGCCGTAATCAACCTTGAATCAGTTATTTTGCCAAAGTCCCAAAATCTGCCTAAGCTCTGTGATTTTGTAATATTATTCGTTTTGTGATTTTTTGTTGATTTAATGAAGTGTAAGATTATCACTAAGGTAAACAGCTGTAAGTTGTATATTATTACTGAGCATGAATTGACCAGACACGGTTATTGTATCAAATAGGATCATATATAAATCAGTGTAGGGGTAGGCAGGATTCATTATATAACAAGTTTTATATCACCACATTAGGTATGGTGACTCATGCATGATCACATTTCCAAAGTCCGTAAGGAAAGACCTGCAATAGGCAGATTTAGCTCTTGCATAATTTATGTTTAATTAGCATTAACTATTGAAATGGCCTGTTTAGACGAGTTGTTCGCATAAGTCTTGGAGATACTTTTCTACTGTTTGCAGGAAAGGTCACTATTCTAAACAGAAATTAAGATTGGTTAAATCGTTAATGTCCAGTAAGGTTCACCTACATGTAGGGTTCATGTTCAGATGCAACTTTTTCCTCCCAAATTGGATTTAACATATCAGTCTGTTGATCACAACTACAGGAAACAGATTTTTGAAACTTGCAAAATGTTTACCCACAGCTGACGCATCCAGATGTCATTGGAATTGGTCAATGCTACTTAGTTTATTTTTCATTAAAAACCGTTCATACATTGTTTCTGTATAGATACTTAATGTTAAAGGACAATTATACGGTTAATGCGGGCCAAGTTGGCACCGCCAACCGATCAAAATGTCAACACTGTGTACATCCAACGAGGATGGTGTGCATCATCATAAGGATATGATAGAGGTTATATATGTAGCTTTCAGACTGAATATAATATACAGTTTATAATTCAATTTAAAAAAGAACTAAACAAATTGTATCTCGAAATAATTGATAGATATTTAGTATTGTTTTGAAATTCCACATGGATTGATTAATCAATAATGGTGAATACTAGCCTTCGGTATTGAAGAAAACAATAATAGATCATTAATCATTTGACAATTTTTATTGGTTATTTTTAAGGTGTAGATTAACAGAATTGTAGACATTTGATTGATGATTTGTAATTGGGCTGATTTTTATATTTTTCAAACAGTTTTTCAGATCCAATTATTGACTTTTTACCCAAAGATTTGTCAGTTTAAAATTCAACTCTACCTTCATGATTATCTAACTGACCTACCTCAGCAACTGTTCAGATCTAAATTATAGTGGAGGTCATCAAAAATATAGATATATATACAACTGGCGGTAGTTGTAACTTTGATGTCCATAGCAGTTATATCTCATAACAATCTGTCATGACATCATCATAGGTTGATATATTCGTTCATATCAACCGCTGATGACGTCATGACAGGTTGATATTTCATATCAACCACTAATGACGTCATCTCAGGTCATCAACCGCTGATGACGTAGATGATCGAAATAATACAAAAAAACACAGAAATAAATTTTTATTCTTTTGACCATTAAAATTTGTAATGGTACAGTTTCTAACATTCAGGACCGAAATAGACGGCGTACTTATCGACATACATGTATTTAGATCGGTTATCCATGTCTAAGACATCTTTCAGAATTATCTTTTCATCCACATTGTGATTATTTCTCCACACACTACAAGACTTGGATGTATTTATCGCCCAAGAGTTCCTTTATAAAGTATTTTTGGGTACAGTCCACTTAAAACAGTCGGTCAAATCCTTCTCTGAACATACCGAAAACCTTCAATCATGGTTCACTGTCAGAATTCTTGGAAAAGAATGCCTTTTGGTACAAATTTTCTGCAGGCTTTGGATAGATCCTCGTCGATATTTGCATTCACATCTATTCCATCGTCAATATGTTGGCTAAAAAGGATTGATTATTCTTCTGACTTCGTATTACTATCCATTTTGTTTTTGCTTTCAATTCAATAGTCCAAAATGGCGACGTATAAACAAAAACATGCACGTAATTGCACGTGATTACTTCGGTAATTTTCGCTATTTGGCGGAATATATCGAGCAATTATCCAATCGTTGTTGCCTTTTAATGGAAGAGGCCATTAAATTTAAGGGTAAAATTGGCGTTGTATATGTCGGATATAAACCTACTCTCCCTCGGATTGATATGGTAGAGAATGCTTGGGCTTCGCCCGCGCGTTCTCTACCATATCAACCTCGGGTAGGTTAATATCCTATACATAAATAAAAGTTATGTAAATCAGATTGATGAAGAAATAAAGTAGTCTAAATACGTCTTTATATTTGTTTATATTACATTGAGTTTGGCAGTATTACAGTCATTACAAATATTGAGTTTGACAGTTACAAGTATTACAGTCATTGTAAATATTGAGTTTGGTAGTTACCAGTATAACAGCTGTCATGCAATTATTGAGTTTGATAGTCATTGGGAATATTGAGTTTAACAATCATTACAAATTTTGAGTTTATTATTATTATTAACAGTCTTTGCAAATATTGAGTTTAACAGTCATTACAAATATTGAGTTTGACAGTCATTACAAATATTGTAAATGTTGAATTTGATAGTCATTACAAATTGTCTATTAACTGCAGCTGATGATAGAGATAAATCTTATCTATTTATTTTCATGTCAGAAATAGAAAACCATTATCAGTTCAATACTTAATTACCGTAGAAAACACAGACACATAATCATAATAATCATACAGTTTGATAATTCTCTTACGTATTAGGAAATGTTTTGTAACATGCTTTTCATGTAACAAGCTAGTGATTGTTCTTGGACCATGTAAATAGTTTTATTTTAAGTTGCAAATCATTATTGCAATAATAATTCTGAATATCATACATATTTTGGAGTGTTTTTATCAGGTTAAAATCTTGACTAAATATTTTACAACTTCTTGGCAGGGGCTAAGAAAACCTTTCTGTTTTTGCAAGCCTTTAACCTGGACATGTAATATGTCGCTGTTTGTTCATATAAGACGAGAAACCTAGCGCCAGTGTGACCTGATTAAATATTGGGATGTCTGTAAAAGCACCATGATTGACAGTGTGGTAACTGCTTTCCGGGCAAAATTCTCCCAATTTTCATTAGATATAAATATTACTATATTGTCCAGCATGATGTTAAAGCCGCCTAATAATCTATATAAATGTACAAATTTTCATGTTTTGTTTTGATTTCAGGAAACTATGACCTGTTATAGATTTTAAAATGACAAAATGAGATTAACAAATGGAGAAGTGGACACAACTCTTTCTTGCTTTTGGAAAAGAGTAGGATCTTCATCCAATCAAAGTCCAAGATCTAGATTTAAACATTCAAGTTGTGTGCATGGTAACTATGTATATATTTATGGTGGCAAGGATGGAACACAACCGCTCAAAGATCTCTGGAGATTTGATACATGTAAGCTTATTTTTATGGTGTGGTTTAAGGTTTTGGGGTTCAGATGACAAGCAAGAGCTTCTTTTTTTCAAATCAAAATGAACTTACAATGATCTGTCTGGACAGGTTCAGTGGCTGCTGACCCAACAAGGAAAATATTTTCATTGGGTTTTTTGTATTGAACAAAGTGCACAACTAGATTATTTTGATGTAGCTTATGCTTTCAAATTTTGGCGGTCTTACCACAGATCTGATCAAGGACAATATTCTTTCTCACATTCAGTATCTCATAGATTCTTTTGCACATTCAGTTGAGGTGTATGGATTCAACATGTGAACTATTAGTAACTAGGAAAAATATATTATCACTTCAGTACTGTGCTCACAATAAAGTAGCAACAATATCAAAATTGATCCATAATTTCTTTTGAAAATATTATGATAATATGTTTTGAAAATATTGTGATAATGAGGGATATGACAATTATCAGTTATGTAGCGATAAATGGTTTTATGAAATGGAATTTAGATGAATAAATGATATGAACAGAATGCATGTATTTGGAAGCATCACAATGTTAGGGTTAAGCATATTGCATGGATATCTATGTGTAAATCAATAGAAATGATGTAATCAAAAAGATTTATATGGTGATCATGCTGTTATATAGCAATTCCATTGGGAGAAATTACCAAATGAAAATAATGGTGATAAGGCGATACTCTGAATTCAACAAATGATGATAGGATAACAGATTCACAGAAAAGTGAATCGTTAAATTGGCTATCCCTGATGCATTGTTGCAACCCAGCAAAACCGCCAATCCAGAGGGCAATAATTTCATTTTTAATTAAAATATCTTTTTCTGTCAGACTTAGTAAAAGTATAATAAATGTGGGAAATGGTTTTATTTAAATGCTATTTTAATTGTCTTGTAGCTACTGAGGAATGGGATGAACTTGATACTCATGGCTCAGAATTAGGCCATCTTCAAGGTCACACATTAGTATCTTATAAGGTAGGTTATATTTATCACATTATTAGCAGTTTTTCATTTGATGTACAATTTCAGACCATAACATTTCAAGCAAATACTCATTCAGGTTGCGCAGTGATTACTCAGACTGTCGTCTGTTCTTGCCAAATAATTCCTACAAAAAAAAATTAAACCAGACATAACTATAATTTCAACACGTATTACTCTAGTTCAGTAATGTAGCATTGTTAGGTTTTGCTAGATTAAAATCTCTAAATATCCTTTGAAGGATTTCTAATCCTTTGCAAAGTATATTACTGTGAATGTTGGATCTCTGAAAGGAATATTGGTCAAAAACTGGTTAATGGCTATTTAGTATATTTACATATATATGATGAATTGACGTTCACATAAAAGAACCATTGAATTCAAAGCAAGACTAGGCTGTAGCTCTGCATGGTATGTACTTACCTTCATTAGCCGGTTCAAGCGGAAAAGTAGGACGTTAAACCCATTTCATGTCATGTAATCATTGTGATATATTTTAGCGTTTGATATTAATATTTGGTGGAGAGTTTACCAATACTGTTAATACAGCACCACTATGGATATATAATCCAGGTAAGATATCTTATGTACTTATCTTTTTTATATGAAATATTTAACAGCCATCAATAAAATCTGAGCTTTGAAAAATTCACAAAAATATGTGCATGAGATTTTATTATCAACCAATATCATTATTTAACAAAAATGTTTTTAACCAAACAAAAATAAATTGGGGATTATCTCCTGTAGACATCACAATAATGAAATTCACCATAAACGACATTACCGCTATGGAATTTAATCATCTGACCAACAGTTTATACTTACATAAACCTAAATGAATTTAATGTCCAATCCTTAAAGATACATTATGGGAGATTGTTGGCCATTCTTGCTATAACAGTTCAAAAGTAGATGATGAAAGAAGAATATATTGAAAAATTCAGTCAAATTACTTTATTCTGAACATAGTTATCATCGTTGTAATATTTGCCTAGAAATGGTAGCGAAATTTGTCTTTACCTTCGCCGATCGTTTGATTGACAGGCGTTAACTCCACCTACATATCTCGATTATCAAGTAAAGTTTTCAATGGCATACGGAAACGCTTTACAGCGGCCTCGCTAAGTACACTCTATCATTTAGCCTCGATCTAACTGACGTATTTTCATCAGGTTACCCCTTATTTGATTTAATCAATTAGTGAAATCCTATTTAAATCCGAGCTGTAGCCGAGCCATCCGTGGGTCTACAGAGTTAATTTTGGTCTTGTTGTTTAAATAAAGATCTAATTTATAATTTCTATAACATCTGAAGCCTAAATTAAGACTTGCAATAATCAGATTTAGCTCTTGCATAATGCATGTTTAAATATATGTTTTTTTTACTCTGGTTTCTTTTTTTTTCAGACTTAAACCATATAAGGAAATGTTGGTGTGATCAGACGGCAAGTCAACCATGTGGTAGACGAGAACATACAGCTGTAATATATAATAATAATATGTATATCTATGGTGGTTTTATAGATATAAAAGGGTCGACATCCGAACTCTGGCAATATAGCATAGGTTGGTTCTTAATCTAATTTCATTGATATCTTTATAATTAAGCAGGTATAAAGATATAGAGCAATTACTTGCTAATCTAGAAGAGAGACATCCCTTGAGCCTATAGGTAGTGTGTCCATCAAATAATAAACATTTAGAGTCCTGGTAAAACATACTTTGATTATAAAGGTAAATTCCTTAACTAGACTGTAATTTCAGTTAACTTGGGCATACTCCAGACGGTATGAAATGAGGGATATTTGGCACTACGTCCCACTCTTATTTCAAATTCCAGATGTCAAGGTTTCTTTTTCATGCTCTTCAATGTGTACGCGGGACCCTACGTCCTGCAACACTGACAAAGGAAACCATGCCGGAAAATCCTGATGAACTTTGTCGGCCAACATCTGGAGTGAACCAGAGACCTGGGTAGAAGGAAAAAAAAACAAAGTACCTAAAGTATTAGTATGTTTTCAAATTTGCTGCCACTGGTCCTGTCTACAAAAAAAATAATGGAAAATGTGAATCAGCCAGGAAATGATGGAGACATGTGTTCTTTGATACTTTCTTCAGTTTTATAAAATATTTTATATTTCAATGTAGATGAAGAAGAATGGTGTTTATTGCCGTCGCCAAGAGGAGATTCACCAGGTAATCGTCATGGTCACAGTGCTGTAGTTAGAGCTAATAGTATGTGGATATATGGGGGTATGAAAGACCTTACCGTTAAAACTGATCTATGGCGCTATAATTTTAGTAAGTATTTTTATCAGTAAACAACAGGCAACTAAAAAAGATTAACAGTAAAATGTGTGGTGCGAGGTAGCCCAGAAAATCTAGTCTTGAATTCATCTTGATTTGTGACAGCACACCACATAAAGTATAGTTTTTCTTTCGATTTTGAACCGTTCAACTTTCAGTAGCATTATCCCATTTGAATTTGGGTGTTAAACTATGAGTCAATTGTCTTAGTATGTTTCTCCCAAAAATAAAATTTTTGATCTCTTTTAGTTTTAGTGTTCACAATATATAATTTTGACCTCGTTTAGTGTTCACAATATATGACATTAGGTATCTAACCTTGATTTCTTGTTTTAGTTTGACATTATATGACATTAGGGATGCACAATTCTTTCATGTCTATATGATTTCTTGTTTTAGTTTCTGGGAAATGGTTCTTGATGAAAAGTGTAAATGGTGGACCACCTCCTTTAACTGGACATACAGTAGTTATGGTAAGAATAAAATCAAACACACTAATACATAACAACATATATAAGGAATGTATATGTTTAGTATACCTCTCACTTGTCTCTTTAAGGCTGTGGTCATCATTAAAGGGATTTTGAATCCCTTGCAAACTGCATGTATTGTGCAAGTTAAATATCTTAAAGAAATATATGTTCAATTCTGTTCAGTATTTACAAAGATATATAATGCACCTACACTGTAACGTTGATATCGTTGAGTAAGCAACAAATAACTGTTATAAATGAAAATATATGACACTAATAGATCAAAGTCATCAGTTTATATACATAATGTGTATTAGTTAGTTAAAAGTGTTAGTAATCAGACAGTAGTCATTAAATGTAGGTGTTTTGTCACTAAGGTGTTAAAACTGTGATTATTGAATGACATACACCACTATTGGTTAGGTTTGTGTATTCAATAGTGATGGGTGTTATAAATAGTCACATTTTTTACAGCTAGTTACACACTTGTTAATTAATGACAACTGTATAATCTCTAACCACTTTCTATGCATACTAAACATTAGTTTAGAATACTGACCACTTATATGATTTAATGATAAAAATTGTCATTACTAAAAGGCCTAGCTTCATTAGTCAACGGTATCTGCTTTCACGTGCTATAATCTTCGCTAATATCTTTTGATGGGCTTTTTGGACATTTTAGCATGGATTTAGCCGGCTTTAATATTTTTCCTGTCAATTGAATAGGAAAAATCAGATGTAATGAATTCAATTAATATGAGCTTTTTTTAAGATTTTTACTAAAATTACTTATATCGAAGTAAATAAGAAAAAAATAAAAATTTACTTGCAGGTCAGTGATAATATGTTGATATTTGGTGGTGAAAATCAAGGAAAACTCTCTAATGACATCTGGTCTTATCATTTTGGTGAGTTCTTTACACATTTAGGTAGTCGTGGTAGTCTTGTGATTAAGGAACTGCTATCTTTATTAGAATGTATGGGGTTTGAACCACAATCTGGGTCGAAAAGAACCTGCACTTGTTAATCATAGCACCTGCAGGGCTGGCAAGAAAAGATTTGCCTAGTCATATGATGGTTCACTTTGGCATGGACATAAAAGAAGCATAGACGGTTGGAAATTGATGAAGAGTTGACAAAAGCACCACTGTCTGGGCAAAGTTCTCCCATTTGCATTCCAAACATGACCATAGAAATATAAATTTTGTCTCAAAATGACCAAGTTTTGTGTTGACCAGACATTAAACCCCATTCTATGAAACATTTTTATGATAAATTAAACATGCGTTATGCAAGAGCTAAATCCGCCTATTGCAGGTCTTTCGATATGTAATTCATGTAATAAAAAGTTCTTCTGTTTCTGACAATGCACTGAAGTTTCACTATAAAATTACAGAGATATTATATATCTTCTGTCAGTAGTGTAGGAGGAGGAGGGAGGGTGCTGGCAAGGAGGTCATTCGTATAGGATGAAAAATTAAGATTCCATGTGCAAGTGGTACAACCCTTAACAACACTTAAAATTCAACAAAGAGTAGACAGTCACGCCTTTTGCCGAGTAAAGTTTCTCTTACAGCACACAGCATAGCATATGCCTATCTTCATTATTAAACCCCATTCCATTTCATTTATTTAATACAATATTGTTGAGAGCCATGCTGATCCCCACCACATACAAAAACATGCCTTAAAAAATGTTGTGAGGTCTTGGAGTATAATGATTTAGAAAACTGCTTTTGCTGCTAGATCAGTCTCTTAAACAAATTTTTATATTAATCATTTTACTACCCAGTTTAAATCCGTGCATTTCATTTCATCCTTGTCTGTGTTCTTGAAGACATTCTATAATATTTATTTTACAGAATCAAGTACATGGACAAAGTTAGAACATGACAACAGAGCTGCTTTACCTTCTATAACCCAACATTCTACTGTTGTTATACAGAATTATGCATCACACAAGACAGAAGGTGGTGCCAGAACTTCATCTGTTCCTCATTTACAAAGAAAGAAAATACGATCCAGCCAATATTCACTTCCTGATCGACCACAGTCGACGCCTCCAAGTGGCCCAGCAAATGCATCTTCAGTTAATTTTCATAATAAAATATTTCCAGCCACAAGTGATGATCATGAAAGATTATCAGATTTTTGTTTGCAATCATTGACAACAGTGACAGGTGACGTTGGATTAAAACGGAAGACAGATAAACAACCCTTGCTAGACGATAGCTCAGGAAATCTTAGTTTAGGTTACGATAATTGTGTAAAAGATATTTTATCCGATGAAACGGACGGTGTACAGTCAGATATATGTGAAATACTCTCTGACAAGGATTCACATTTGTATAAAAAAGCAAGTAGCAGACCTTCAGATTTGTGTTCAAAATGTCTTGTCAAGCACAAAGCTACAAAACCAAAGATAGAATATACCTCACAAAGATCTAGAATTTGTAGAATATGTTCAGAACCGTTAAGACGATCGCGGCATGAGAGTGATATTTTTATAGAAGATTTAGAACAAGTTGACGATGAGAATCAAAATGAAACCGAGCCATTGCCAAACTCTTTTTATGTCATGCATCATGACTGTAGTAATAATCAAAATGGCCGTGAAATAATAGAACTTGACATTGTTAAACCAAATTCAGGGAAAGATAATTGTGATATAGTTTCTTGTTGCTCCAAATGCAATTTCAAGCATATATGCAATGGAGACAATTGTAGTTCAGTTTCCTTATTTTTACCTTCGCCATCTAAAGAGTTTACTTCAATAGCAACACAAACTGATGATGTCATTCACGATGTGAGAAGACCTGTCACTGAAAGTAGTAGACAACAAGTTTATGAAGTGATGGAGGATTCCAGATCAGATATTGCAGATAAGGTATGCATTCACATTTGACAGATACCATATTTTCCATCTAGACATATGCGTTTTTTGAAGCCATGGTGACTCAGTGATTGAATGATGGAATTCCATCAGTTTAAAAATATCAGCAGTGACATACATGTACGATTAACACACCTACTTTTGTTTTTAGTTAGGCCACATGCTGAATTCTGGATTTCAAACATTTGCTTGTATAAGTAATTTAGAATGGGCTAGGTCCTGCTGTTGAATTCTGTTAAATATATTTCGATTATTCTGTATTCATACTATTCCAAAACAGGTATAACTGGTGTTTTGTTCATCCCGAATTTCTTTATTTATCGTCAATTGTTTTATTTTGCAAAAATTGTTAATCTTTTCAAACCAGTTTTACTTTTGTAAATGATCCTCATTTGTTAATAGCCTATATAGTCACATTGTATGACTTTCACATCTTAATAACTCTACCCTTTCTATTATATAATATATGAGATTATTAAGTAAACCTTTTAATCAATTTTTTTTTCAGAACATCACTGCAGACGGTAATAATATACAAGTGATTATATTTGGAGGTAAAACCAGTACAACAAAGACTACGGAAAGATGTGCTATTAGTATATGGAAGTTGAGCATACTGTTATAGTCTGTGATATTATTATACTATTTTATATATTAGGTCATTCTCGGGAACCCAATGAGGAGTGCTCAATAACCATTACTACTATGATAAATGTGGTGTTAGTTGTTATTAGTTATCTTTCCCATCTTTCTCTAGGAACTGGGCCTAGAACCCTGGCATATATTGTTACATCTTCATACAGATTTTAACTTGCAATCACCCTGTTTTAAATATCGAGACAAAGGACATCAATAATTTTGATTAGTCTGCAAACTTAGTAAAACCATTGGTTCAGAAAAAGCATTTAATTTATCTGCAAGTATTATTAAAATGACTTTTGATATTATGGCCTACATGCATGACAGAATAATCCCTATAGTGTCACATATTGTTGACATAATAATCCCTATAATGACACATGTTGTTGACATAATAATCCCTTTAATGACACATTTTGTTAGAAAATATATTTTTAAGTGATAATAATAATGATATCCATAAAGCACCAAATCATGGCACCGGTATATATAAAAGTTTACTAGCTCTAGTCTTAAGTTTTTTGTAACTTTTTGTAATGAATTTTGAAAAGAAGAGTTTTTAAGATAGATTTGACGATTACAAACAAAGAAGTCACAAAACGAAGTTTAGCTTCGAGTAAATTAACTCTGGTATCAATACCTGATTGAGATTGATTGAATGCTAACTTAATAAAACTGCTGCTTTGGTATCATTATCTAATTGATATTGTTTGAATGCAAATTTAATAAAACTTTTGTTTTGGCATATGATTGGTTAATATTAACCAATACTAATAATCATATACAATGCTGGACGACTATACATTGATCATATTATTATGATTAGTTAATGGGCTTTTTAGTGTTCAATAAAATAGCTCACAGCAAATTTAATCAGGATTAATTGTTCATCATAATGTTAACTGATTCTTTAGTATTCAGTGCAAATTAACTAGAGCTTAAAGTATGATTACATTAAATCATATTGATCTGAAGTATTTCACTGGGTGCCAAATTCTATAGTAATCAAACCATACTGCAGTGAGGTAGCAGTACATTGTACATATAGGTCACACAAAAATATTAACGATTTGTTCCATTAAGCCAAAACCTACAAGATATTTTTCATGTGTAAATATATTTCTAATAATGATATTAAATAAATAAACTAACCACAAATCAAGTTATTCAATATTTGAATGACATCTTACCCTGCATAAAGACTTAAAAAATCACAGTCTGTAAATAAGCATGCTGCATAAAGACTTAAAAAACCACAGTCTGTAAATAAGCATGCAGCATTGAGACATATAAAACCACAGTCTGTAATAAACCTGCTGCATTAAGACTTATAAAACCAAAGTCTGTTATGAACATGGTACACTTCACAAAGACTTATAAAACCACGGTCTGTAATAAAGTGCTGCATGAAGACTTATTGAACCACAGTCTGTAATTAACATTTTGCATAAAGACTTACAAAACCACAATCTGTAAAAAAGGAAATATGTTGCATAAAGACATACAAACCAGTCTGTAAAAAAAATAACCTGCTGCATGAAGACTTATAAACTGCAATCTGTAAAAGCATGCTGCATGATGAATATTTATAAACCACAATTTGTAAAATGTGTTGGGAACTGTCCTTTTATCAAATTGTGCATAATTTCCCAAAGACAAGAATTTAATGTTTCATGATATATATGCAAATAATCTGAATGATTATTAACTGCTTTATGTCAGCTTTTTGGCTGATAATGTTTAATGCATATTGGTGGATTAGTATTAATTCTAACTGTGATAAATATAAAAGATATAAAACCTATCTATGACTGTTGTTGTTGACTAAGCATAGATTTAATCTGGGAGTATATTGTAAATAGATATTATTAAAGTACTTGATTATTAATTAAATGTCCAAAATTATTTGCCTTAGAAGTCCTTTCCATCATTCTTTTTCCGTCACCAAATGGTATATGAATAAAGACGATATCTCTTATCGCAACTAGACATACTTTGCATGATACACAATCTGATTAAAACACAGATCCTGTTTCAATTCATTTTTTATACGCCCAAATTGAAATGTGGTTGTATATTGTCGTCGCCCCCGTCCGTCCGGCGTCCACAATTGCTTGTGGACGCTCTACATGTAGAGGCCAAAGTTAATATCTGATTGACTTTAAATTTATACACAGTATTTAAGGTCTTGAGACGAAGAAACCTATTGATTTTCAGCGATTTTCGATAATTATTTCCAGAGTTATGGCCCTTGATCACTTCAAAAAATCTTGTCGACGCTCTAAAGGCCAAAGTTAATATCCGATTGACTTTAAATTTATACACAGTGTTTAAGGTCATGAGACAAAGAATCCTATTGATTTTCAATGATTTCCGAAAATTACTGCCAAAGTTATGACCCTTGATCACTTTGTGACGCTCTAAAGGCTAAAGTTATCATCCGATTGACTTCAGATTGATACACAGAGTTTAAGATCTTGAGACGAACAAGTATATTGATTTTCAATGAATTTTTATGTCTTGAACAGCTAAATCCATGATTTTAAAAGTTTTGTATACAAAACGTTAGCATGGGGCAGAACTTTATAAAAACAAACAAATTCTAATGGTTTTCTGATAATTACTTCATAAGTTGTTGCTCTTAATCAGATTTTAGTGTAATATAAATGTTTCATTACCGAAAAAAGTAAAAATATGCAACAACTTTTGTTGACTGCCCGGATGATTTAGCTGTTGTGGGTGTATGTTTCGTTGCCTGGCAACCTATCTTATAGTTCAAATTTCGTTTTAATTGTTTTTACGACACTAGGATCTGGAAGATTTGTTATTATTGACATGTTTTGAATAGTGTGAGGTATTAGCCAATGAAACGGTCTGTTACGGCGAGCTTTAGGCGTGTTTTTCACGGAACTGTGGGTAATCCACTAGTAACACTAATGCTGATTGGTTAATCAAATGTCTGACGTCATAGACTCACTTGCCGCACGTATGACCTCTGATGTGACCTATCGCAACAACTGGTCAGATCTTCATGAAGTGTAGGCCATCGAAAGTATAAAAACACGAAATGAAATATAGATCTATATTTTAATCAGATTGCATGATACAAATCGTTTGTGTAAATATTTGATGTCCAGGGTTTGCTTTTTTTGTGGCATTTGAACACAAATTGCTACATTGAAGATTTGAGGTAATCAATTAATATTTATATAATGCTATTATCTAAATTTTGTTGTTATGCTGAAAATACCAATAATGTCATTTTATGATAAAAACATTTTTCTTGAAGTGATTTACTGTAAAGATATCCCATTTGAAGAAACCCAAAAAGCAGACAAAATGGTCTTCACAGGATAAGTTGAAGGATCATGAAGGAGCTTCTTCTCCCTTCATTTCACCTCCCGTTGTTAACTGTGTGTTATAGAATAAAGTATAAATATAGATTTTTGCATCTATAATTCATCTGCATGAAAACCAATAAAATATGTATATAATGTTATGAGTAGTTGCAACAAAGTATGATCAAATGGCAGCCAAATGGTACTCCATAATGTATTTGTCAGTCTGGCTGTTTGACATTGGAAAGAACAAAAAAAAAAAATCAAAGACAAAAAAAATTCTGAAAAACAATTTGTGTTAAATTTTGATCTTATAAAATGTTTAGGTCGACTGTTTATTTATAGATCTATGTGTTTGAATTTCATCTGATCTATATAATAGGGATCACAAAAACCTGTCAAAACCTTCATACAGAAAATGGTTTCAAATTTTTATCCAAAAGTCAGTTTAATTGGCAAACATTAATTTGTACAGTTATTTATTGATGTTGCAGGTCCAGGATAAAATCTTACAAAACTAATATCTAGCTTTAATTTGATGGACCAGAATGCCAAAATATATATTTTGTAAATAATTTGGAAAATTATTCACAATTGTGATGTATGTGTTCATGTTGAATATGTTTAATAATTAGTATTTTTTTTGTTAGTTTATCAAATAGATTTATTTTAAAAATTTGTTGTAAAGTTCATAAATTGTTAATTTGTTAGTAATGTTATATTTTAACTATTTTTCCCAATATTGTATAGAAAGGTATTTTGTTAAACAACCTGAGAATAATTATTATTATGAATTTAATTTTAAATTTATCTATTATTATACTGACTTTTGGTATTATAGCCAACAAAATTGACATAATAATCCCTTTTAAGATGCATTATGTAAGAGCTAAATCTGCCTATTGCATTTCTTCATTTTACCTTCAAATGTTATATAAACTCTTATTTATTTATATTAACATATCAAACCCATAATCAACTCTCTAGACTATCGGATGACATTTTACCTTCAAATGTTACTTAAACTATTATTTATTTATATTAACATGTCATACCCATAATCAACTCTCTAGACTACGGTATTTGGATGGCAGCTAGAGGTTTAAATGGATTAGTTTTTAAAATCTAACATAAAACGGAGAAAACAAGACTATTTATATAGCAGAAGGTTTGTGACCTTCCTTATGGCCAGATCTGTTAAGGATCTTAATGTATCACTATATCTATATAGTCTCACTGGATTTACATGCTATTTTTATATAACTTTCAACCAATTTATATACAATGTAATCAGTACAATGTATATTATCAAATATATGAATAATACACAATCTGTTATAGGTACATAGTCTTCTGGCATTTAATAAAATTCCTATCTTGATATATTTGTCTGTTTTTATAAGCCCACGTATTATAAGGGAGTTTATTCTTATCACCCCTGACCTTCTTTATACAAGTCTACTGTTTTGAATTTTTTAAAAAATTTCCATGATTATTTGGTGAATCATGAGGAATTATTGCCTTTGTCAACTCTTCAAATTCAGAGTTGCACATGATAATTACCAATGATTTTGAGATTGTGTTATTACTCTTGTGGTCCTGCTTCCTATCATGTCATAAACAGTACAGTTAACAAAGCTGCAGGTGGACATTTTGTTTTCATTGCCTATTATTATAGCAGTCCTTCAAATCAGGAGGTGTTAGGTGGCCGAATGGATTAATGCGTGCGCATGAAATCACAAGTGAATTATTGAAAATAAAATTGAACTGGTTGTTAGTCCCAGATTGATCTAGTTTGTGTGGAGTGGACATTACACTTCATTTCTCTCTCTCTTTTTGTAGTTATAACTTCCTTACTAGAAAGAACACATCAAAAACTACCAATATGCTAATTATGATGCTTTTGTCAAAAAGTGAACGATTCTATGAAAATATCGACCTAAACTCTCGGACGAACATCAGTGCACTGGGATATGCTCAAGTTATATACAACCTTGTTTTTAAGATTGATATTTTTGACCTAGGTAGTAGTTAAATGCTCCTGCCAGGAAATACAGCGCTGTCACAGCAGTCTAACATCTTGATGGTACCAAATAGTTGAAAATGGTATTTCAAGTAATTCCAGCATTTAAGGTGTAACACCTTGCCAGAAAAAAAACATGATCACAAAATGAAAAGTTCACTAAGAAAAGTAAAACTCAAAACAACCATGACAAACTGCAAAATATATAATTTATTCTCATACAAGTTAATTTACAAAATTGTATAATTTGTAACATAAAAATATGAAAATACTAACATTATTTCCCACTTAATAACAAATGTGATTTGTACATACAATAAGTGATAAATACGAAAACATGACACAAAAGATTAAGTAAAATTCAATGGTAACTACTTCATAAATAGATTTTATTGTAAAACTATAAATTTCACCATTCATACGACTGATATAATTATTCGAAAATCTTTCTTTAGGGTTTGGCCTATCTACTTTTTTAAGTTGGTTAATTTGGCATCTTTAATCCTTGTATCAAGAAGTTGCACTTGAATACATAGGCTATTAAATAACCAATGTTATTAATGCCCAACATTTACTACATTTAGTATTGTACATTATAAATGGCCAGTGCACAGTCAATCAGCAGTTGAAACAAAAATATTGGCTCATGAATGCAAGGGTTCTAATTGAGAGAGTTCAATTTAGCCTGGTCATAGAAGACACAGGAAGTATCGATCGTGTGAGATTTCATCATATCCTACAAATGGTATCTGGCAGAGAATCTACTAAGTATAGGACCAGCTTATAACACTTTGTAAAAGATTCCTTAAAATGATCACTAACATCATAAATTTATTAAGAAAAATACAAAAATAGGACAGAAGTTTAGAAAATAGCACTAATAATTTTTAGTAAAATCATACATAATTTCAATGTTGGATTTCATTGATCCAGGAACTAACATAATGTAATACATACCACAAGAAATCAATTCCAAGCAAAACATAGCATTACATAAAGCAAAAAGAGAGACCAATCAAAATTATCTGTCTTCCAAATCATTTTTGCCCATGTGTCTGCGTTTTAACACAACCTTTTTAAATGTTTGACCGCATTGTGATGTAAATTTGAATAACATGAAAATATGGTCTAACCTAAATAAGATTAAAATGAGGCGAGTGAAACAAAATGTTAAAATACATTAATATATCAAAGTCAATTAAAATGCCAGCCATATACAAAAAATCCAGTATAGGCAGCTTTTACCAAATTAATGCACAATGTGTATGTGAAATGTGAACAAGCCAACAGTGAGGCTGATGTCCCCCGCCGAAATCCCAAAATAAATAGATGACACATATTAATTAATCACACATTTATTTTTTTCAAAAGTATCGAGCAATCAAACTACACACTAAGTTTCATCACACTCTATCAGATAGAATCAATATTATCTTGTCCCAAAGCATAGACCAATGAAATTGAATAGCTCTGCTTAGCTTTAGCTTGAAAGGTTAATCATTGAAATCAGTCAAGACATTCACCTAATGAACATCTACATCAGGTTTAAACATTCTACCTCAATTAAAAGCAGAGTTTTTATGTCCCAAAGTCTTGACCAATCAAACTGCCTATCGCTCCTTAGCCCAGGCAGAAAATTTGCACAATCAAACTTAGTCAAGGTAATGATATAATGAATCTATATTCAGAGTTTCATCGCTCTCACTTCATTATAACCGAAGTTAACGTGCCCCTAAAGCATCAACCAATCAGATTGCTTATCTCTGCCTACCGTAAGCAGACAATGTTCATCATCAAGTCCATCAAGGTATTCACCTAATGAATGCCCACACCAAGTTTGAACATTCTACCTCAATTAGAAGGAGAGTTATTGTGTTCCAAAGTCTCGACCAATCAAATTGCTTATTGCTCTGCTTACCCTCAGCAGAAAATGTTCATTATCAAACTTAGTCAAGGTATTGATGTAATGAAGCTATACACCAAGTGTTCTCACTCTCACTTTATTAGATCTAAAGTTATCGTGTCCCAAAGCATCAACCAATCAAATTGCTTATCGCTCTGTTTACCCTAAGCAGAAAATGCCTATCTTCGAACTCCATCAAGGCATTGACCCAATAAACACATACACCAAGTTTGAACATTCTAGCTCAATTAGAAGGAGAGTTATTGTGTTCCAAAATCTTGGCCAATCAAATTGCTTATCGCTCTGCTTACCCTGAGCAGAAAATGCTCATTATCGAACTTAGTCAAGGTATTGATGTAATAAAACTATACACCAAGTTTCATCACTCTCACTTAATTAGAGAGAGACAGAGAGAAAAATGGGTTTTAATGTCCACTCGACACAAACTAGGTCATTTCGGGACTAACATATGGTTTAATTTTTAATTTCAATAATTCGCTTGCACGTAGGGGTCTTTGGGAGGAAACCGGCGGACTCGGAGAAAACCCACAAGGTTGGAAAGGCGACCCTACTCCTTGTAACATACAACCGGGGATTCGAAACCACGCCAGTTGACTCAATGACAGGCTTTATGATACAGTGCGCACGTGCTAACCATTCAGCCATCCAACCCCCCTCACTTAATTAGAACTAAAGTTATCGTGTCCCAAGGCATCAACCAATCAAATTGCTTATCTCCGCTTACCCTAAGCGGAAAATGCTCATCTTCGAACTCCATCAAGGTATTGACCTAATAAACACCTACACCAAGTTTGAACATTCTAGCTCAATTAGAAAGAGAGTTATTGTGTCCCAAAAGGTGTGACAGACGGACGAACCCATTTTAATAGTCCCCTGCTTTCTTCGAAAGGCGGGGGACAAAAAATGGAAACAAAATACTGAGTTTATTACAATCAATTTTAAGGAATTAAGTGACTGAATGTCAATATTTTATGTTCCAACCAATTCATATACTTGTTTGATAAAATTGATAAATAAATATCCTATGAAAGCAATACACCATAAACAGGAATAATGTATGTTTTGTAGGTAGGCTCTCTATTCTTTTACTCTATGTATTTGTAATTAAACAAGTTTGAACATTCTAGCTCAATTAGGAAGAGAGTTATCGTGCCCCAAAGTATCAACCAATCAAATTGCTTATCTCTGCTTACCCTAAGCGGAAAATGCTCATCTTCGAACTCCATCAAGGCATTGACCTAATAAACACATACACCAAGTTTGAACATTCTAGCTCAATTAAAAGTTATCGTGTCCCAAAGCATCAACCAATCAAATTGCTTATCTCTGCTTACCCTAAGCGGAAAATGCTCATCTTCAAACTCCATCAAGGCATTGACCTAATCAACACATACACCAAGTTTGAACATTCTAGCCCAATTAGGAAGAGAGTTATCATGTCCCAAAGCATCAACCAATCAAATTGCTTATCTCTGCTTACCCTAAGCGGAAAATGCTCATCTTCGAACTCCATCAAGGCATTGACCTAATAAACACATACACCAAGTTTGAACATTCTAGCTCAATTAGGAAGAGAGTTATTGTGTCCCAAAAAGTGTGACGGACAGACAGACGGACGGACAGACGGACAGACAGACAGACGGACGAACCCATTTTAATAGTCCCCTGCTTTCTTCGAAAGGCGGGGGACAAAAAGTGAGTAATAATGGTTGGTGTTGTTGAAACAACCAATATATATGTCATTAATATAAATACATTTATATGTAGCAAAATTAAAGCACAATGTGTACATGTATGTAAAAAAGTGAGTAATAATGGGAGACCAATCAAAATTATCTGTCTTCCAAATCATTTTTGCCCATGTGTCTGCGTTTTAACACAACCTTTTTAAATGTTTGACCGCATTGTGATGTAAATTTGAATAACATGAAAATATGGTCTAACCTAAATAAGATTAAAATGAGGCGAGTGAAACAAAATGTTAAAATACATTAATATATCAAAGTCAATTAAAATGCCAGCCATATACAAAAAATCCAGTATAGGCAGCTTTTACCAAATTAATGCACAATGTGTTTGTGAAATGTGAAAAAGTGAGTAATAATGGTTGGTGTTGTTGAAACAACCAATATATATGTCATTAATATAAAATACATTTATATGTAGCAAAATTAAAGCACAATGTGTACATGTATGTAAAAAAGTGAGTAATAATGGTTGGTGTTGTTGAAACAACCCTTAATATATAGGTCATTAATACTAAATACACTTAAAGATGCATCATGTAAGAGCTAAATCTGCCTATTACAGGTCTTTCTTTTGGCTTCAAATGTTACGTGTATATAAATTATTATACAGACATTAATTAACATTCCATGCCTACAATCAACTATCATTGGATGGCCGAGAATTAAATGGATTTAAACATCTGTGAGATCTAAGAAATTAATGATAATATGGACAATCAAGGCTAAATCTCGGTTGTCAAGTACTGTTGCTATGATAATGAATGATCTACCCTATATGTTTAAGCAGTCATATCTTCAAACAGTCATTACTTTGCTCAGAATAAAGTAATTTGAATGAAATTTTCAATATATTCACTTTTCATTATCTATTTTTGAACCATAATAGCAAGAACGTCTAGCTCTTTATCTAAATCTTACATAATGCATCTTTAAATGTAGCAAATTTAAAGCACAATGTGTATGTGAAAAGGTGGATAATAATGGGTGGAAGTTGAAACAAACTTAATATATACGTCATTAACATAAAATAAAATAGAAATGTAGCAAAATTAAAGCACAATATATATGTGAAAAAATGAGTAATGATGGGTGTGTGGTTGAAATAAACTGTTAAATATATATGTCATTAATACAAAAATGTAGCAAAATTAAAGCACAATGTGTATGTAAAAAAAGTGAGTAATATTTGGTGGTGAGGCTGAAATAAACTGTTAATATATATGTCATATTAAACTACATTTAAATGTAGCAAAATAACTATGAGATTCTATAGTGGTGCGTAATTGTTGAAAGACTATGTTCATTGAAACAATGTAAACGTGTTTGTTCATAGCACACATATTTTTAAATACGGTAAGTTAATTTCTTAAATTTATAACATACATAACAATCATTAATAACAACATTTGAACAATATCAAAAAATATTTGATAAGTATTATACAGGATAACAAAAAATTTCAAATTAATATTGAGACACGATTCTATACATTTAAGTAGTACCAAGTGCCATTGATATAACTAATATAAGGTGAGTTTGGTTGCTAATAATCCGAAACCTAGATTCAGATGTGTTTGTTTTTAAAGTAAAGATCAGGGCTTTCATGTAATAATATTGCCAGTCAGTAAATTTTTGACATTTTGTTTACCGCAGATCGGCAATATATTTTCCCAAAGAATATGACCATCTTCAGCATTTCTCAATTTTCAAAATTAAATACATTAAAGTGTTTTTACACACAAAATCTATAAATTAAAACTGTATTTATTGTGATTTCAGGTTAAATTCTTTGTAATTATCATTTCATGACATTTAAATTAATTGACAGGTAAATTCTACAGTTGGTCAATTTCACTTTCAGTCAGTCAAGACTGTAAGATAATAATAATAATAGTCTATTTATATTGCGCAATGAGCATGCTCAAAGCACAGTCCAAAAATGATCACAAGATATGCCTGAAAAGAAAGTCCTGCTATAAATCATCGCATCTGAAGCCAGATACAAAATATGTGAATCTGTTTCTTCAGATTCAAAATGGCAGTCATACACAAATCAACAAAAGAGTGTCTCAGGTCATTGAAGTTCCTAAAACTGTTTGTGATAATTCTCGCAAGAGAATCTGGATCTGGATTCTTAGCACTCAACCACTGTGTTAAAAAATGTACTGTATAAAATAAGCTTTTAATAACTTTCTACCATTACTTCTTTATGAAATACAATAATTAATACTTGTCTGGGGAATACATATAGCCTACATGTATTTTTCAAAATTGATAAAAAAAAATTTAATAAAAAAATATTTTTGATATTTTTAAGCTCTGATTCAATCAAACTTTCTACATTTCGTTGTTTTTAGAAATTACATAATATATGGATGGTATTCTTTATATAAAAGGCATAAAAAAATATACCATAGGGACATACCGTATGTAAAAGTACTTGTATCAAAAGATATCAATATTTTGATTGCGATTTTAACTATAAGAACATGTATTTTGATTTCTAATATTATTATTTTGATTTCTAATATTATTATTTTGATAATAATACAGTATTATTTTGATTTAAGGATATAATAAACAGATGTTGTTATGACTATGGTATTATAGCACCATCTATACTATAGCTTATCTGCACATTTCAAGTTGCACTAAAACATCACTATAAGGTGGTTTACAAAAACGCTGGTTTTTGTTAGAAGGCAGGTTTCACTATAAGACAGGGCTCAACTGCATCATATTAAAGCCCTTCAGTCTAATGTTGTTTTGCCGGTTACACTATAGCAGTTGACTCTAGCGTTATAGAGAAGCCTTCAGTCAAATATATAAGGGATTCGCTATAATATCACAGATTATATATCATTGGATCCCAACAATAGCATAGTGAAGCCCTATTGAATACTGTATAAATAATACATCTATGATATAAAACTAGAATATACTGTACATATAATGTTAAACTACTTATAAACAACCTTTCATATACGTTCACCTATTTGAAATATAGATTTAGAATAAATATATTATAAACTGTTCCTCAGTCTTCTCAATAGAAACTACACCTACATGTATCATTGAGTTTTGACTAAATAGTGTATTCCTCAGTTTTGACTAAATAATGTATCCCTCAGTTTTGACTAAATAAAGTATCCCTCAGTATTGAATTCAGTACATAAAGTATCCCTCAATTCTGATTAAATAAACTATCCCTCTGATTTGTTGATTTGGAAATTCAATTGTTCCCTCCCATTTATTAATCTGAAAATATATTTTTTTCACATTTGTATCAATATTAGCATATTGTCTAATACAATAAGCTTACTTGACTGACCCTCCCTTCATAATTCTCTGTCGTCTTAATTAGCCCAGTCGGAGCAGAACAGTAGGATGTTAAACCACATTTCATTTCATTCATTAGGTTGTGTTAAGTAGAAATGTGACTAGCTATACTATTCAAAAAAAGTAGGGGATATTTGATTTTGGGGGCATAATACTAAAATATGCAAATGACTACGAAAAAAGTCACTATAGAACCTAACAGAAGAAACATTTCCAGTTACATGTGACGCCCAAACGCACCAATAGCTACCGCATAGAATGCAGGTGATGCTTGGGATCATCATGGGGGTCCAACCCAAGATTTGCACGACTCTGACTTTGAATGTTACAGTCATAGAACCTAACAGAAGAAACATTTCCAGTTACATGTGACGCCCAAACGCACCAATAGCTACCGCATAGAATGCAGGTGATGCTTGGGATCATCATGGGGGTCCAACCCAAGATTTGCACGACTCTGACTTTGAATGTTACAGTCATTGTGGCATCGAATTCCAGGGTGGAAACATCAGTTTAATTGTTTTAGTGACCAGAAAACAAATTTTGATATGCGTCGGCTTACCCAAAATGAAAGGTTACGTGCCCTTGGCATGCTACAGATCGGCAAAACACAGGCGGTTGTGGCGCGGACGATGAATGTTTCTCAGTCTGTCATAAGCAGGCTATGGTCCAGATACCGTGATACACAATCTGTACAGGACAGACCACGCTCAAGTCGACCAAGGGCGACAACTCAAGCCCAGGATCGATTTATCCGTACCTTGGCCTTGAGAAATCGTGTCATCACAGCAAATCAGATCAGCGCTCGTCTTCAAACAGACACTGGTGTGAGAGTGAGTGGCCAGACGATTCGGAATTGACTGCATAGGGGTCATCTTCGCCCCCGACGTCCTCGCATGATCCCTTGTTTGAGAGATCATCACATTCCGGCAAGACGTCGTTGGTGTAGGGATTGTCAACACTGGGATAATCGACGCTGGAGCAATGTGATGTTTTCAGATGAGTCAAGGTTCACTGTTGATTTTTTGGACAGACGTAGGAGGGTGTGGCGTCGTCGAAACGAGCGCTTCCAAGACGTTAACGTCATCAGACATGATCGATTTGGGGGTGGTTCTGTTATGGTGTGGGGAGGCATCACTGTTGCTGGAAGAACGGCTTTACATGTTGTTGCAGGGCGTGTTACAGGCCAGTACTACCGGGACAACATCTTGGCAGTCCATGTTGTGCCGTTCGCACGAAGTCATGGCCGCCGTTTCATCTTCCAGGATGACAACGCAAGATGTCACAGGGCCAGGATCGTTACAGGTTACCTCCAACAACAGAACATCACATTACCTTGGCCAGCACTGAGTCCCGACCTCTCCCCCATCGAGCATGTCTGGGACATGCTTGGACAGAGGTTACGTCAACGTCAACAACGTCCTACCAATGTCCAAGAACTTGCTGCTGCGTTGCAACAGGAATGGGACAATCTGGACCAAAATGACCTTAGACGTCTCATTAAGAGTATGCCACGTCGGATCAATGCTTGTTTGGCAAACAGAGGAGGATTTACCCGTTACTGACTTGGTTGTGATGCTGTGGTAACTTTGCTGTTTGACCCCGGGTATCATTTTACCCTTATAATGGTCAGTCTGTGCCTTACTTAGTCTAACGTTCATTTGGAATAAATCGATGAATGTGAACTTCATTTCATTTTGTCATTTGTTTCTTCGTCAGTTTCATTAGGTGACTTTAATAACACTTAAAAATCAAATATCCCCTACTTTTTTTGAATAGTATATTTTTTCAGATTCAAAATATAAAGTTCAAATCGGAATGTCCAAAAATTAAACATATATATAAGGTTTTCAATTTAAATTTTTAATTAGTTGACTTCAACTGGTCTGGACCAAATTTCTTCTGGTGTTCAAAAACAATTTTTGCTAGTTGACTTCTGCTGGCTAACCCTAAGGATCTACGAGTGAGACAACGCTGAAACATTTTTAAAGGAGCACTGGAAGGACAAGAAAAATTCTTGAATTTGTGTTTTAGAGCTGGTTCAATGGCACGGAAAACGTGGAGTTTCTGAGATTTTATGAACAAATCGTAAATATCAGCATCTTGTGCTTCTTCTGCTGAGAGTAGCTTTCTCATGTCAGTAAAATCAGAGACATAGAAACTACTGTGTTCATAAGAATTAGCATCATAATGACCAGATTTACTATTAATGTCAATATTAGTAGGATAGGGTTTCTGATCGTAAATGAGATTTGGTTTATACTGCCAAAAACCGATCGGGAAAAACACTTGCCAGCCTTGTATCGTATTCATACGCACACGGTTAAAATAGTCTGGCGCTAACTCCATACCGACACTACTCAATAAGATCAAAGATTCTGGTTGAAATCGACTGACAACTTCATCTATAATATATAAATCTGAAATATAAGCTTCTTGATGAGTGAGACTAACCCATGATACTTTCCCCCCATTCTGATATTTCCTTTCGTAATACGCAACTAGAGATTTTAATACGGAAAATGTATCCTCGATGCCTCCATCTAGTTGATGTCTATAAATAAAAACAATTAATAGATAGGTATTATCTCCTGAATCCAGACAAGTTTTTGCGTAAGAGTCGAGAAAATTTGCAACTCCGTCTTTCTCATCAACTGTGACTGGTAAGATCAAGTTGACACGGGTATTTTCTGTGACATACGGCATGGGCACAATTTCCACACGACCCAGGGGTCGAACGAGATGTACTCTTTTCTCCACCTCCCAATTTTGTTTTGAAATATCTCGTAAGACCAAATCTAATGTGTACTCCATGCCTCGTTGTGGATCAAATCTTCGATAACCATTGACCAGACTTGAATACAGGAACATGTTACCATATTTTTCATTCAAGCGCTCTACAGATATCTTGATAACTTCCTGTACATCTTGTTTATCTACACCTGAAATATTATATCAGTAAATTAGACATAGATTTAAACTAAATTAAGGTGCTGAACACAGTCAGAAATGAGCTCTAATAAAAGTTACTTCAGCATAAGAATGCAGTGATACATACAAAAATAATCGTGATTAATCATGATTATTACAAAATGAATAATCACGATATCTTGGATTATCATGATGAGATCATGCTTGAAGAATTCATTATTGCGATTATCGGCAGCCATTGTTTCTAACAAAAAAAAAGAAATATTATCCAGACGCATAACTTGTACATAACATAGTTGCTGCTGGATAATCAATGGTTAGCAATCGGGCCAGTGAAGTTGGTTTCTATGACAACAATGCTCTGCTCAGCACTGCGCGTGGCAGGCAGTAGGGTAACTCGAAACTGTTCACAGAAGATTTTTTATTATCCTACTGCCATTTTGACGAGAATTCAGCTGAAATAATAAGAAATACTTTCCAGATTCTATAAATTTGATTCTCCCAAATCAAAATTGAGATTATTTTAAAAATAATCTTGATATATCACGATACAGCGATTATTTAGAAAGGAGGTGAATCACTAAAAACTATATATGGAATAGTGGTACTCTTGTCTTTATCAAGCTTGTTATATGTTACATCTATAGCTTCTTTTCTTACTGTATACATACTTAGGTTATCATTTTACTTTAAATAAAATATAAATGGTTCTGAATAAATCACAAAAATGTACCTTTAAGTTCTTTATAATTAGTGAAATCATCTTGAAAATAAATATGTGTTTCAGTGAAATAATCCCATCTTATCACATCAAATCTACTTTTAGGTTTATATGGTTCTGGAACACCTGAAACAAAATAACCATGGTTGGGTTAGCTGAAGACTAAAGGGAAGTAACTCTACTTAAACATACATTATGCAAGAGCTAAATCTGATTATTGCAAGTCTTAATTTAGGCTTCAGATGTTATAGAAATTATAAATTAGATCTTTATTTAAACAACAAGCCCAAAATCAACTCTGTAGACCCACGGATGGCTCGGCTACAGCTTGGATTTAAATAGGATTTCACTGATTGAATCAAATATGGCGCACCCTGATGAGAATACGTCAGATAGATCGAGTCTAAATGATAGAGTGTACTTAGCGAGGCCGCTGTACAGCGTTTCCGCATGCGAAAAGTGGGACACCAATTAAAATGAATGTACATGTATGTCCGACAATGTATGTTTGATTGTGCAGCTTTACAATATTGTGTACAATAACTATCTCTATAATTACTGCCATATATCTGAAAAACTTTTATATATATCTTACCAATAGGCCAGTTAACACTTTCTCTACCCCCAGGAGCAAACTGACTCATGTAGATTATATTGTCTCTAGTTTTCTCAATCTCTTTCTTTGTTTGATTTAATTCATGTTGACAAAAATATCTGTAATAAAAATATAACATACAGTACGTACTACACATCATATTAACCAAACATTTACTGTGGCTTAATTCAAAATAAATTGCATTCTACAAGTACAAATTAAATATCATGCATGTATAAATGTTACTGACAATCATGAGTGACACTAGATAATCATACATTCCTATAAACAACATGATGAAAAAAATTCATTTAGCTCAGTAGTGACTTGATTAGTAGTAGTAACGGTGATATAATAATACGTTTTTTTAAATCGGATAAAAATTGTGACCTCTATAGGGTCCACAAGCTAAAAACGCGATTTTTCATACAATCAGGGGCCATAATTCAGAAAGTTACGTTCCAATATGCGCGAATATCGAAAGGAACCGAGATCTTTGGGTTATAAGCATACATTTCAAGTTTAAATCAAATCGGATAAAAATTGTGACCTCTACAGTGTTCACAAGCTAAAAACGTGGTTTTTTGTACAATCAGGGGCCATAATCCATGAAATTAGTCTGATACATGCCAATATCGAAAGGAACCGAGATCTTAGGGTGATAAAGCTATATTTCAAGTTTCATTGAAATCGGATAAAAATTGTGACCTGTAGGCTGTTCACAAACAATTGTGGACGGATGGACAGGGGCGATGACAATATACGTCCACATGAAAATCCAGTCAGCCTATTTATACCTTAGCTTACACCAAGCTCATGAAGAAAGGTAACAAGAATTTATAAGAAATAAAATACAATAATTGCAAAATATAAACAGAGTTTATGATAGATATGGAGATCAATCAGTATCCTGGTCCATCTTTAAGACAAGCAAGTTATTTTACAAAGTATCAATAGTAAAGCACACAATGTCTGTATGCAACTGGCTGGTGAGTGGAAAAAGATTTGTGAACAAAATACTGAGTAGTTTCGAGTTCTGCTCTGGAAACAAAACAGAACAAATAGAATGTTGGCCAGCTACATCTACCCACATTATATGCCAGGGAGATAAAAAAGTCAATAAATTCTACAATGATGATCAATGTACTAACAACAATATTGATAGAATCTGGAAAATTTTGTACCATTTATTTCTCATAAGTGCGTGGGAGAGTAAGAACAATTTATGATAATCTATTAAATTTTACTCTATCTTAGCCCATCCTCTGCACACTTTACACACAATTCACTCTATTTCATGCAGCATCAATAACCAAGATAAGTTAAATTGTAATGGTTCACATACCTGTGTAATTTATAATGGTTAATATCATCAGGCATTGGGAATACAGAAATAGATGCATTGAAGACTTCTTTTTGTTTCAATTTGGGTATTTCATCATCAAAATCAAAATCTGATACTTTGAAATAGGTATAGCTTTTAGTCTGTAAACATAAAATGTTATTAAGGAACTTGAAGCAATGTATGTAGAAGTACATGTATGTCATTTCTATTTGACCATAAATTGTTATGCTAGGTTCAATTCTTATCTTTCAACCTTCTTCGTAAGCCCAGTCGGAGCAGAACAGTAGGATGTTAAACCCAATTTCATTTGATTTATCTTCTGAACTGAAATATTCTCTGGGATATGGCCACCAGAAAAGATTCCCACAATTACTTGGTACATACATGTACCTATGTGGCTGATTCATACGAAAGAAAATGATTACAGATTAAAATATATGTGCTTGTGACTGACATCGGTACAAAGGAATTCATTCAGTAGAATCAAAGGAATATAAAAGAAATTTATATATCTTACTCCAGTATGTTCCTGACAGTTCATATCAGTTGAGTGTAGAAGACACTGTCCTAGATTTAAACTAGGATCTGAGGAATGACAATTTGTTGAACACCAATCTAACTCAGCTAAAACTCTTGATAAAATGGACTGAAAGATAAAACACAGGAAATTAAATTAAATAAAGTATTAACTTTTAAGAGGAAATAACAACTTAATTGGTTTCTGCAAGCCTGTTCAGAAATAAGGCACCTGTCACAGAACTTGCAGGCACAACCCCTAAGGTGTCTTCCATTTTGTCTGGCAAAAGGTTTGTTTGAGCCTTGAGTGTTTTTTTGTGTGATTTTGTTGGTATTTCCAATACCTGTCCATGATGTCCAAAACAAAGTTTAAACTGTTAGGAACTGTACATGTATATCAGTAGTGCCTGACACTTTGTCAGATACAAGTAAGATCGTTATTTCCAGGCCTATCTTCCTGTAGTCAAAATAGTTTTGTCTTTTACATCTACATATCATTTCCCACTACAGTACTGTGACAAAATTGTGTGTTACTACATGTATAGATCATATACAACACAGTCACCCAGTTGATGTTGTATGTATGTGTCACTGTCTATTTGAAGACTCCAATATCGTAGACAAAAAATTATACATTTTTAGTATAATACTGTACATACATGTACATGTATTGCATGTATTTTTTTGTAATTGTATGCTGCTATGGGCATTTTTATGCAATAAAAATTTATCTATCTTACCGGTATCTTATCTTACCTGTATATAGTTAATAAGACCTTGCCAAAAATAACATTACGGTACTTCATTTCTAACCATTTTGACCCAAATGACAGACCGATGGGCTATCTTAAAATGTGAATATTTACCTGAGAGAGAATGATTCCCCCTTCTAAAGGGCAATATGTTCCACTTCCATCCTTCATAATTTGGGGAAAACCCATGTAAACATGTTGACTAACACTGATATGATTGACTAAGTCTATAAGTTTCTCTCCGCGTAAATAAGCTCTATCTGATACAAACATATAATAATCAAATGTCTCAGGATAATGTTCTGATATGTACTTCAACACATGAATGGGTACAAGGTGTGGATATTTATCAGAAAAGCTGACTACTGACATTCCTGCAGGTAATGTCTGACCCTTTTCCTCCATAAAGAATACCATTTTTGTCACATGATGTTGTACTGTTTTATTGAAAGCGACACCTAATGTGTCAATAGTTGTCTTTGATGTCATTACAGCTACAAATAGGCGCTCTCTAATACCCAGTTCTGTCGATGCATATCTTGGTCTAATGAGTTTTTTGGTAGGACTTCTTTGCGGTGCAACGTTTTCTTGTTGCAGTCGTAACTTTGGTTCAAATTTCATGGAGTCTTCTACACCTTGGATTGACTTTTGTTCTCTTTTATTGACTAATTCCTGTGGGTCATGATTAGCTACAAATGTTTCACAACTATTTTCACTGAACGGGGCATACATCATACTCATGGCGATGCCTAAACTTATTCCGATGATTGCTGGCATTAGCAGTCTACAACATTTGGGATCGATTATAACGTTGATTGTGTTATAGCACTGTAACAAGGTGACATGTCTTGCCATGATTAATTTATGTAATCAGCAACGGTGACAAATTATAAATTAACTTTAAGGGGAAAAAAAATATTCCGAAGTTATCTCCCCTTGACTAAACAAACTTCTCAAATTTTGACGTTTCGAAACCTCTCAATTTTTTTTTAGGACAAGTGGGTTAAAAGATTATCAGTACGAAACTCAGAAGACTTATTCAGTCAGGTACTACTTTTACTATTTAAATACCCATTTTATAAATTATTTTCATCCGTAAAACACGTCAACAATTTCTTCTTGCCGACATTTTCTAATCTCGTTAAACGCGAGAATAGACGACAAACTTCGAGACCTTTTCACCAACATGGCGGAGCAGGTAATAATGAAAAGTCACTGTTGACAAAAATGTATTGTAAAGCTTACGAATAGTAGACATTTGGCCATTCCTCCAATTTCTAAAATATATCTGGACGCGTGACTACAAATTCTGAGTCCATCTTTCTCGTGTCTTGCTAAGTAACAAGGAATTGGCCATTCCACTTGTTTACGAATCACGTTTTGTTGTGAATATATATGTGTGTAAAAATAAAATGTGACCATATCTTTTTGTAAGATATTACTTATTATACTTATCTGTTTTGTTTTGCCGTAGAACTAAGCCTACCCCGCATCACACAATCACATCATTTGCAATTCAAATAAATAAAAATACTTCAAATAGAGCTGACCAGTATCTTGAGAAGCTATCATCATTGACATCATCATTATTTTTATTTTTATGCAATGTTTTAAAACATATCAGTATGAATTCGACAACATTATTAAAAAAATGTATTGTAAATCTTGTAGATTCTAGATTTAATGATATAAATAATGGATAGTAAAAGTCTAGATCTAATGATATAAATAATGGATAGTAAAAACTATTTTTTTGTAACAATTGGATTTGGCAGTCTGCGATACGGTAGCTCTTGTCTGGTTGCTCGGGACAAGTAAAATTTACGGAGGACAAATAAAATTTTCATTGTGACTTGTCCGCCGGTACAGGACTGTTTTTCAATAGAATTAGATACAGAAATTATGTAAATGGACATCGACGATGATGACACATTAAAATTTTGCCAAATTTAAAAAAAGAATATACCCATTTCCCTGTGGCTTGCACTGTTGTGTTAATGTATGGGGTTTGGCAAGAGATTTGTTTATCACAGTTATCCAGTACTGTAGACCAGTTAAAAAGTACAACAAATTCTGTATCTACTTTCGAAAAGAGTTACTGGGGGTGTAACTTTGCATATTAAAGTGTTGGCTCTTCCTGTTAATCTGTGAAAAATGGTCACTTCTTATCAGTCAATTGATTCTCGACTGTTTGGAATACTGTACAATTCTTGTTTATTTAATATTTGTCAGCGAAAATAACGAAGTTACCTGACACCAAAGTATCTTTCTAGACGACCAGAGATTGAATTTTACACGACATTTGTAATAATGAAAAGTTAAATACATGTAGCCTATGATGCATTGGTGTACCAGTATAGCTAGAAAATAGATTGATAAAGGGGTAGTTAACGGTTAGATCAATCCATTTTCCGCGACTGCACCAAATTGAATACTCGGTTGCTGAATCTTGAGTTTTCAAACCTTTTCACCAGTTTAAACTTGTGCTAACTTTTACATTTAAAAAAACCTTTACCCGATAGATTGAAATACAAAGTTACCCTTATATTGGCCTTTAAGCGTAGACTACTGAAAGTGGTGTACATAAAATCATAGAAATTGCACCATATCGAATGCCAAAATGCAAAATTTTCTAAGATGAAGCATACCCCCGAACTGCCTTAGGTTAATCCATGTCTATGGCGCTCAATTCGAGCGTCTGCAGAGCTGTTTAGATTCAGGCCTTTGGAGCGCAAAAAAATAAACTACCTTGATACTTTACGCACGGCTACAGTAATAATTAATAAAACTCCTGCATCGGTACGGTAAAATCGTTGGGGGCAAGTAAAAGCTGTCATTGTACTTGCCCGCTGGCCAAGTTTGTAGTGCAGACTGATTTGACTTGTAACGTATTTGGTGGCTGGTTATGTAAGTGTAATGTGTTAGCAGACTGCATTAAAAATATTAGCACTTATATATTTATCGAATTATTACCCCCGCTCCCCCCCCCCCCCCCAAAAAAAAAACAACCCCAAATAATAATTGTATTTAATTATTGATGAAAGGTTAGAGTAGATCCAGTGATTGCAGTATATCAATTTTATTTGAACGTATGGTAGTCAGTCAGAAAATCTCCCAGCTTAAATTCAGTCAGATTAAAAAGGGGCTTATCAAAAGATATTTGTGAAGATTGCAGGTGCTTGTTTTGAACTATTTTGGACTGATATTCCTATATTAGGCTTAGAGTCTCAACTTGCAGATGTGGGAATATATGCATAAAACAATCAAAATAGAAAAAAGAATTCAGAATTTATTTAGTAATGGATTCATACAAAATGGCATTTTGTGCTACAGTAACCTTTTTGATGAGATTTTGTTGGTTACACAATTTTCCTATTATTGCTTGTCCTATTTGTATATCTCGTTAGTTTTAGGTTTTGAGTGTTGATATTCGAGCCAGCTTACTCAGTAGCATGTATGATCGAAACAATTTAACTTTGATCAAAACTTTGTTATTCAGATAAAGAAAATGGAAGTAGATGAAAGTAGTAGCAGTCATGAAGGCATCAAACAGTATTATATCAGTAAAATAGAAGAACAACAGGTGGGTAATGTAATGTTAGAAACGGTTGCAATTAACTTGTAATTTTAAGAATTATTCATTGAAATTGATAAGAAGTTCATGAACATTTTACGTCTCATTCATTGAAATTTTTTCTGCATCACAATCTTAAGAGAAGTTGGAATAAAAAATATACCAACACCACTCCCCTCATACTTCTGTATTTGTATTATTTATTTATTTTTTTATAGTTAATTGTAACAGAAAAAACACAGAACTTACGCCGTCTAGAAGCACAGCGAAATGAATTGAATGCTAAAGGTTTGTTGGTTATGATTAACTCTTTATAAGATATTAGTAAAAATTACACCAGGTAGCTATATAGTGTCTCAATAGTGTTTATACAGTATATAAAAAAAACATTATGAAATGCCGGTAAAGATTTAAAAAAAGATCGAAAACTGTAAATGTGATAATTTTAATTGTCTTTAAAGTTTCCCACATGATATGAAAAAGGGTGTGATAGGTTTTCTGCTCAAAGGACATTCTACAGTGAAATTAATTTTTTAGGGAAACTGAAAGAATTGACTTTACTATGTTAGGTGAGCCACAGTGGCTCAGTGAGTAAGGCGCTGGCTTACTATCTAGAAGGTCTCATTGTTGGTTGAGAGAGCTCAAAGGGCTGGCAAAATTTCCTTCATAGCTCATTGCAGGATATCACTGTAACCCGGGTATCATTTAATCTTGTGTATTTAGCATTAATTTCTTTCACATTAATTCAATAACAAATCTTTGTTTAAATATTTGTAAAAATCGTTTAAAATCACCAGAAATCATCTAATTTGTACTTGTATCTGGCAGTTATGAAAATGAGTGTTAAATTTCTTGATCAGGAAATTAAATACTTGTAAATTGAACAGTCATTATCAAAATTAATCAATCAGCTTTCAACTAGACTAAAGTACAAATTAGATGATTTTGGGTGATTTTAAATGGTTTTTACAAATTTTTTTAACAAATATTTGATATTAAACGAATGTGTGAAAGAAATCAGAGCTAGATACACAAGATTAAATGATACCGGGGTTACAGTGTATGATACACCTGTCTTTATTATTTAAGTTCACACAAAAGAGTAGGAAGCTGAACCTCATTTCATTCCTATGTATTTTTCGTGTTTATTTAGTCATTCTTGTTACTATACTGTAATATTATGGTACAGGTAATAAAGTTGAAGATGAGCACAGTGTTAGCTGAAAGATGCTTGGTGGCAACATACTGATCCAGGCTATGGGAAAACCTAATCAATTCAGTTTGTCATTGAAAGAAAAAGTTGGCTTACGTATATTATTCTACTAAATGTTAATTATATGTTTTCAGTTCGTATGTTACGAGAAGAATTACAACTTCTACAGGAACAAGGGTCTTATGTTGGTGAGGTTGTTAAACCCATGGATAAAAAGAAAGTTCTTGTCAAGGTAAAAGACAATTTCATGATCTATATATTTGCACACATTTGTAGAGACAGATAAAACAAAAAGTACAAAAATGGCGCAAATGCCACCATCAATCCCAGGTTCAAAGGCTCGAAATGTAATCAAAGTAAATCAACACATCAAATTTAGATAAATTCATGTCCATACCAGTACCACTTTCACATTGAAATGGCCAATCTGTCTCACAGAGGATTACGAAAGTCTTCTGATATCTCTGTAAAAGATGACTGCCTTCAACACATTACGTCACATCACGCGGCATCAATCATTGGCTCAATGGCGTGTGCATTGTTTTATTAAGACATTACTGGTTCGGGCAGAATGGTGCCTTTTACTCAAATACCCATTTACACTAAAAAGGAAATATTTTTTACCTACAAATACTTCACTGCTGATCAGTGTGCCAAATGACTCCATATCAAAGAGATATTGTAACTTTAAATAAAGAGAATCCGAAGTGGAAAAGCATTATGAAAAGTTATAGTGTTGGAAACTCATTCATACTTTAACATCCCCCCTCCCCCTCTACCACATTTTCACCACCATCTCGCACCTCTCACCATTCACTAGCCCTGGATATGACTGTTTATATATGATGTAGTAGTTATAATTAGATTTAGAAAATCTTAAAGTCGATAATATGAAACTTTATAAGTGATCATTTTCTGTATATTTATTTTTTTATATTGTATCTTACAGGTTCACCCAGAAGGAAAGTTTGTTGTTGATATAGATAAAAATATAGATATTAATTCTGTAACACCTAATTGTCGAGTTGCTTTAAGAAATGATAGCTATGTTCTACACAAGATTTTACCTAATAAGGTGAGATTTATGCGCTTCATTTTTTGAATTGACCTAATCAGCATTCCAATGTTGAAGGAAATTCTTATGATTTATGTCCACTAGAGGCGACAACCATTTCATGGTTTTTATACCCTTGTCCACCAAGTGAGGAAACTGCACAGATAATATCATAGCAGCTCACATAGAAACATACAAGTGCTTGCGATTGACAATTTTGGATGGTTTGGTTCGTCCCGGTCTTATATCACACCAAGAATCCATTTTTACAAATAATTAATTGTCAAAAGGATTTTTTGTTCTTCAAACACCTTATGTGTTAGGGCTATTCAGTCTATATATACATTGTTGGTCAGATATCAGAAGAAACCCCTTTCTTAATAAAATAGTTACTATGAATTAACAGAAAAATGGCAACAGTAGAAAGCAGAAGCATTATCATCTTTGTTATTGTGCGCGGTTAGTAACATCTGCCATTGAAATAGAAAGTATTGAAAGGGAAATAGGGTTTAATGTCCACTCAACACAAACTAGGTCATTTTGAGTCTAACATGGTTCAATTTTATTTCAATAATTCGTTTGGGTGTAGGTGTCTTCAGCTGTGGGAGGAAACCCACTAGGTTGTATAGACGATCTTACTCCTTGTTACTTACAAGCGGAGAATCGAAACCACGCTGCCCTAATGACAGACATTATGATCCAAAGTGCATGCGTTGAACCATTCGGCCACTCAACCCCTCGAAGATGAAGATTATAAGTTATAACTAATATAGCATACTTTCTCTACTTTGTAACTGAACCATGCAACAATAGGAGATGATAGAAACTTCTAGTTAAATTCATTTATCTTTTTCATTGCAGGTTGATCCATTAGTAAGTTTAATGATGGTAGAGAAAGTACCCGATTCCACATATGAAATGGTCGGAGGTCTAGATAAACAAATCAAAGAAATAAAAGAAGTCATTGAGTTACCAGTTAAACATCCAGAATTATTTGAAGCTCTTGGCATCGCACAACCCAAGGTATATTGGGCAGGGGGTTTGTCTTTGTCTGTAATAATTCATATTATGTGTACATACATGTAGGTGACAATTTGGTATTGACCATAAGCGACCGATTGCCAGTTAACATGTTGCCTGACTTTACACTAAATTTAAATGTTAACAACCTAAAAGGGTTTAAATGTTAACAAATTAAAAATGTTTAAATGTTAAACCTAATAGGGTTTAAATGTTAAACCTAATAGGGTTTAAATGTAAAATGGTTTAGGTGTTAACAAACTAAAAAGGTTTAAATGTTAACAACCTGAAAAGGTTTAAATGCTAACAGCCGAAAAGGGTTCAAATGTTAACAACCCACGAGACTTTAAATGTTAACAACCCAAAATGTTAACAGTCTAAAAAGGTTTAATTTGAATTAGTTTGGCTTACCAATCTGTCTCTTTGTGGTTTAACATCTGCTTTCACAATAGTAATATTGCAGACAAGACTTGGCTTATCTGTTCCATAAGTTTATCATTTTATCTGCTTCAGGTTATTTACTGCTCTTTCAGTTTACCTTTCACTACCCCATTACAACGTGGACCGGGGGGGTTGGATGGCTGAATGGTTAGCATGCGCGCGCTGTATCACAAAGTCTGTCATTGAGTCGACTGGCGTGGTTTCGAATCCCCAGTTGTACGTGACAAGGAGTAGGGTCGCCTGTCCAACCTCGTGGGTTTTCTCCGGGTCCTCCAGTTTCCTCCCATTGCTAAAGACCCCTACGCGCAAGCGAATTATTGAAATAAAATTAAACCATATGTTAGTCTCGAAATGACGTAGTTTGTGTCGAGTGGACGGTAAACCCCATTTCTCTCTCTCTCTCTCACAACGTGGATCGTATGCAGGAATACACAAATTAAGCTTGATCAAAATGCTGTATATTAATTGGTTTCATCTTTGTATTATACATTGCATATACTCTATTGGATAGTGGTTTCAGGAAAGACATACAAGTATGTCTTTATCTCATTTCAGTTTTAAATAAAATAAAATGTATTGTTTGCAATAAATTAATTACAGGGTGTGTTATTATATGGTCCACCAGGTACTGGTAAAACTCTACTTGCTAGAGCTGTAGCCCATCACACAGAATGTACCTTTATTAGAGTCTCCGGATCAGAACTTGTACAAAAATTTATTGGTGAAGGATCTCGTATGGTCAGAGAACTTTTTGTTATGGCTAGGTAATTTGTTTTTAACATTATGTATTTATTATGAAATTAGGATTATTTATAGATATGTATATATATATATAAAAAGCAGGCAATGTGTTTTAATTTTCTGGGGATTCAACTCTGCATTTCTTCTCACCTTAAAACAAAATTGAATGATTTAGTCTCAAAATTTGTGTTAAGATGGAGTGGGTTGTAGACTGGGGTGAAGATTCACAGAAGCGTAAATTTAATAATTTGTTTAAAAACATCCAAGATGATGAATTTTACAGTGGATAGAAAACATTGAGAATACAGCAATATCAAGTAGTTTCTCTAAAATTGAATTAGTTATGATTTATTTAGCTGATACCAATGTTCTTATCCTTGGTTGTCGGTCTTAATTTACCTAATATATGTACATGTATGTCATTAGAGTTTGTCTCAATATTGGGACAAATGGAGTTGATTATAGTTTTTAAACACCAACGTTTTAAGCAAGTATACAAATAAAACACTCACTGTGAAGTCACAGTTCCAATACAAGTTCTGTTTGTTTTATTTCAGAGAACATGCTCCATCTATTATATTTATGGATGAAATTGATTCTATAGGATCATCAAGATTAGAAGGTGGATCAGGAGGTACTGTATTTAATTTGTTTTTATTTTCTTTACTTATTCCTGTTTTTTAAGCATTACATGGACTCAGAATGAGTAAACGGCACAACAAAACAACAGCTTGACAACAATGCAAATAGTAACAACAATTCAATTCAATGTTAAAATGAATGTAATAAAGTTTGATACATGAACTAATATATTTTGCCCCACATTTTTGTTAACTAAATTTTTGCTTGATAACGATACCTGTATGTGTATTGAAACATCGCATGTTAATAAAATTCAGAAGTAGTATATCCATATAAGTGTGTTAATTTTAGTATAATCTATTTCTATATGTCTTATAAGTATTAATTATTTGATTATTTCCGTAGGTGACAGTGAAGTGCAAAGAACTATGTTAGAATTATTAAATCAATTGGATGGATTTGAACCCAAACAGAATATCAAGGTACTATTGTGTGATATACTTTATAGGTTCTGGGGCCACTACTTACACAACCACTCACAGGATTGAAATCTTAACTGGTCAATAAAATAAAACATATATTTATTGTATTGGTACTTCCAACAAAATCGGTAACATTAAAAAACATGCTGTATAGCAAGTCACAACATGTGTTAAGATGGCCCTGCATGTGCACGTCGGTGTGTACACAGGATCTCGGTTTTCTGTTCCATCCAAAGAACTAGACACTGTTCCTTGCCAGGCCCTTACAAAAGGAAACCCCACTGGCAAATTCTGAGGAACTTTCTCGACTAACACCATGATTGAATCTGGGACTTAGGTTAACGAACCAGCAATACTCACTCAGCAATTGAGGCCCCTATTCCTTAAAACATTGATTAAAAAATTTTATGTTTCTTTAAGTTTCTATATACAAATTTTATATTTGTCATTAATCATGTGAGTAGTAAACATTATGACAATGAATGTTTATTTGGTAATTTAATCTATAATTATTTTTTTTCTTAGCAGTTAGAAATATCTTACTTTCATTTCTATTGGTAAAATAGAAAAACAAATTAGGCATGAAATAACATTTTTATCTGTTTGTATAATCAGTTATAATCAATTTTATCATTAATCATGAATCAGAAAAGACAAAATTATAAAAAAAAATAGTTCAATGGGTATTGTTTTTTTTAAAAAAAGGTAATTTACAGATTTTATAGTCCCTGTTGTTCAATTCATTATTTCTCTATTTTTGATGCTATGTATTTTATTATATTATAGGTGATTATGGCAACTAATCGTATAGATATTTTAGATTCTGCTTTACTTCGACCTGGTCGTATTGATAGAAAGATAGAATTTCCTCCACCAAATGAAGAGGTAACATATTTTTTTTATAATATAAATGTTCTTTTATTTATAGAACAGGTAAATTCAATTTTTCGTTTGTAAGGGACGGTAACTGAGGTGGGATATACTATTTATATTCCTCTCTCTGTCTGTACAATTTTTGGGACACAATAACTCTGCAGCTTGGCGTAGTGGACCCTAGGTGAATGCAATGGTGAACATTTTCTGCTCAGGCTAAGCAGAGATAAACAGTTTGATTTGTTGGGACTATAGACCACATTAACTTTGATTCTAATTAAAACATACATTATGCAAGAGCTAAATCTGCCTATTTCAGCACTTTCTTTAGGCCTGAAATGTTATCTAAATTATTAATTAGACATTAATTAAGTTATCCAGATCATTATCAACTCTCGATGTCATCGTTAGCCTGCGATATTTACTGGATTAAGATCCGATTTGCTGCTTAACTTTCATTCATGATTAGATCATGAAATGGATGATCGAGACTGTGTTTTTTATCGTACTGACTTTAGTAATGATGATCAAACCTAGGCTGGAAATTCAATTGCTAAATTCTCGGTTCAGAGTGGATCAATTTGACTCATTATCTAGTTTTTAACTATTATAGTGAGAACTGCCAGCTCTTTATCTAATCTCCCATAATCTATTTTTAAGTAAGATTGATGAAACTTGATGTATAGTTTCATTGATCAGTACCTATACTATGTTCGATAATGAGCATTTTGTGCTCAGATAAAGCCCATATAATCAATTTGATTGATTGACATTTGGAACTTTGATTCTAGTTAAGTGAAAGTGACGAAACTCTGTGTATTGTTGCCTTGAGTAAGTTTGATGATCATCATTTTTTCTGCTCAGACTAAGCAACATGATTAGTTGATGCTTTGGAACATGATTCTTTGATTCTGACTGAGTGAGCGTTTAATGTTAAAACACTGAATGTTCATTCAGACTAGCTGTTTGGATTCAGTCCAGTCAAACATTTCCTTGTACAAGGTTTGGTAAATTTCTTTGTTATTTGATTTACAGGCTCGACAAGATATTCTTAAGATTCATTCAAGAAAAATGAATTTGACTCGAGGGATTAATTTAAGAAAAATTGCTGAAATGATGCCCGGAGCTTCTGGTGCTGAAGTGAAGGTTAGTAGATACTTTTATAAATTAGTTGTGAGTTGCTGAGACTTCCTCAAAATATTGGGAATAGGGTGAGTGAAATATTTGATTTCACCCTCCATCACCCTCTCGAACCCAGACTACTCAATATACCAGAAGAATTTTGAAAGAACTCTAGGGCAGTCTATATGAAAAAATGGGTCCAGAGAAATGAAAGGATCCTTTAAGATGCATTCTAATAATGTGACACAGGATAACCCAGTTTGGGAGTATCTGAAATCCTCCCCCTCCTTTAAGTCAGTCATCGGGTGGGTGACTGTATTGGTTGCATTCCATAAACCTATTTACTTTTTATTATAGGGTGTATGTACAGAAGCTGGAATGTATGCCTTAAGAGAAAGGAGAGTTCATGTTACACAGGAAGATTTTGAATTAGCTGTTGCTAAGGTAAGTAATAATATACTTATTCCATTTAACACTTTTATCAAAATGTTTAAAAACTTTAAAATAATTGGTTTCTGTGTAACAACCAAGTTGCTTTTTGTTTCTTATTCTTGGACAATCCTTTTAATTGTGAGGAAGGAAATTGGGTGTTTTTATGTTAAGATCTATGGGGATGTTCTGGGGGGGGGGTGGGTTATTTTTTGAAATAAAGACAGATCATGCAACCCTTTTAGGTGAAGACGTAGTATCTGAGAGTCTAAAAAATTTGTATTTCTGGTTTTGAATTTTTGAAACTATATTGATGTTTCTACAAAAGTTAGTGTTTAATAATTATTTTACCTTACTTTCAGATTATGTTAAAGGATTCAGAGAAGAATATGTCTATCAAGAAACAATGGAAATAATGAAACATTAATGTTAGAAGTTACTACAAATGTATATTTATTGCCATTTATTGAAAAACATTTTTTTCGTAATACATAGTTTTCATCTCCAGTCAAAGGGGTCAAACAAATTTGACCTGCATATATGTTCCATAACTTCATGTTGCCATTTTGTTAGCGTCTTAAAATAGACTGTGTATACGATGGCATTTAATGTGTAATATATTAATAATAAATTTCTACTTGGTGGATTTGATTGTTGCTTTGTAAATTAGAAATATGCAGTCGATTATTGACCATTGGTAGGAGGGTATTGGCGCTGGCTCAGTAACCAAGTGTCCAGAGTTTGATCATGGTGTTCACTGAGAAAGTTCCTTTGATTTTGAAGGGGGGGGTAGGGTGGTCGAATGGTTAACGCGTGCAAGTTGGATCATAAGGTCTGTCATTTAGTCAAGTGGCATGTTTTCAATTCCGTGCTTGTAAGTAACAAGGAACAGGGTCACCTGTCCAACCTCATGGGTTTTCTCCAGGTCCCCTCACACTACTAAAAACATCCTAGGCGCAAGCGAATTATTGAAATAAAATTAAACCATGTTAGTCCTGAAATCACCTAGGTGGTGTCCAGTGGACATTACTCCCCCCCCCCCTCTCTCTCTCTCTCTGGTTTGAAGCCTGGTTTACCTTGCTCAGTGGTTTAGGACAGAGATTCTGAAAAGGAAAAATGTCTAGTCATTGGGATGGGATTGGTTTTCCGTATACCATTAATATTATGTTAAAGAAAATTTCTCTTACATAGCAATCTGCTTTCAATAGCCTAGTTGTTGCAGAAAAGTAAGTTGTTTAACTTTTTTTGACCATTAAAAAATTCGGTTAAAAATTTCCACGATTTTGATTTTAAAACTAAAACCAGTCGGGTCAATATGGATGATGGTTATCAAATGGTGTTAGAAAAAAGTAGCGTGGTCCAATTTTAAGATGGTTGCAGCAACCCACCTTCATTAAGCAAGACAAGACCTTGTCTAAATCTGTCTAAATCTGTTGAACCGAAAATACCCGTTGAGACGGAGGGATTGGTGTACTTAAGTGGATTTATCTCCCTTAGACTACCGAATTAACCCTCTCTGTTTTGTTGGTGTATATCCATACATTTGATTTGAATTATATAAGGAAGTTATGCATGGAGTCAAAATAGACTCAAATAGGCTATTACACTAGATTAGCCGGATCGATTTTTATATTTTTTTATGATTGTTTAAAATTATAAAGATTACATTCTATTTGTAATGAATGGAACCCGAGGAATATGCGCCAGTGACCGTGCAACTGCTTCGGCTACATATTAATTTCGGTATGAATTTGGTAATTATAATGAAAGTAAACGGTCGTGTATTTCATCCTCCGAAAAGTGCGAACGACGAATGTCGAAAAATGAACAAAGTGAATTGCTGATGGGAATACATTCACTTCCCGCCTATATAGTATTGTTCTCTAATTATTCAGTCTAATAAAGAGCTTCAATCACTTAGCATTGCCAAAAGTACAGGTCTAGATGACATTCCAGCTCGCTTTTTAAAAGATGGTGCTGATGTCCTTAAAATACCCATTACATTTTTGATCAATTTATCCATTTCAGAGAATTCAGTTCCGGATGAAATGAAATTAGCTAGGGTCAAACCATTATATAAAAAAACAGTTCTCTTCTTGTGAGCAACTATAGGCCTGTGAGCATTATCAGTATAGTGTCAAAGAATCTGGAAAAAGCTGTTTATATACAACTGGAGACTCATTTGAAAGACAATAATTTATTATATGAACAACAATCGGGCTTCAGGGGCAGCTATTCAACTGACACATGTTTGATCAGTTTGTTGGATCATCTCAAGGGTCAAAATGTTAAGGGGAATTTTACCGGTATGGTCCTATTGGACCTGCAAAAAGCTTTTGACACAGTCGACCATGATATCTTGTGTAAAAAACTTGAAATGATCGGCGTCCGATCCACAGGATGGTTTCGTTCATATCTTTCCAACAGGAAACAAGTTGTCAACGTTGGTAAAACTCTCAAACCCCTTGGACATTTCTTGTGGAGTTCCACAGGGCAGCATCCTGGGTCCCTTGTTGTTTCTCTGTTATGTGAATGACATGATCATTAGCATACCTGCCCCTTGTAAATTAATCTTATACGCTGACGACAGTGCAATCCTGTTTTCTCATCCAAATCCTGAAATAGTATCTTTAAAACTTAGCGAAGCCTTAAAGGCTTGTTCAGACTGGTTAGTAGACAACAAATTATCCCTCCATTTAGGTAAAACTGAATGCATGTTATTTGGCCCAAGTAGAAAACTAAAGAAAACTAGTAGTTTTGAAATAGTGTGTAATGATCATGTCATTCAAGCAACAGATAGTGTAAAATATTTAGGTCTATATATTGATCATTGTCTCTCTGGTGAATTAATAGTTAATAATATTATTAAAAAGGTCAATACCAGATTGAAATTTTTATATAGGTATAACAAGTCTTTAACAAAGTATACTAGGAAATTATTAACCAATGCTCTTATACAATGCCACTTAGATTATGCATGTTCAGCTTGGTTCTCAGGCTTAAACAAGAAGCTGAAGAACAAACTACAAATTATTCACAACAAAGTTATCCGATTCATACACGGCTTGGGTCCCAGAGATTCAATTACCAAAAATTTGTACAAAGATTTAAATAGTTTAAATCTTGATAATAGAGTCAAACAACTGAAACTGAACCATGTTCACAAAATCTTTCATAATGTGTCTCCGGTGTACATGAAAGCCAATTTTCGCTTAGTGAGGGATGCTCATCTACATAGTACTAGATCAAGCATTTATAATTATGTTGTACCAAAATGCAAAAATAATACCCAATACTCAACTTTCTACTATTCAAGTATTCAGGCCTGGAATGAACTTCCAAATCAACTTAAATCAATAGAGAACATTGGCACTTTTAAGAAAAATGTTAAACAACACTTGCTAGCAAAACAAATACAAATGTTTTAGTTTATGTATGTATACCCCGATGTCTTTCATACCTCTTTGTACTTCACATCCCTTATGGTACACACACATTTCACTATTAATTGTCATATTCCATCCTTCATCTTTCATAAATGAATCTGCCCCTCTATGATGACATAACCTGATCCTCCTCCAAGGACCCCATTGGAAATAAACCTAGTTTTACTTTAAGCAGGTTTTTATGGGTTATCCTCAAGAGGCTGGTCATCCATGACATCATTACTTTTTCTCTCATCAAAACTTTCTCATCTTATTATCATGTAACTTCATATGATCATCTATATTGTCATGTATGATATGCCTCTTGGAAGAATAAATAAATAAATTAAACATGTAAAGCGTCAACGAAGAAGTCATTTTTCGTCTTAATAATAGAAATAAGATGAAATAGAATTAAAATTTACGCTGAACAAATAAAGAATTATACATTGGATTATACATTGTCTTAATTTAGAAATTACATGAACAAAAGTTAGAAATTAGACGATAACACGACATTAACAAATTCAGAATTTTGAATCTAATATATACGCCCTTCTGTATCGTATCACAGCTCTAAATTCAGTTACTAGTTTTTGTAAATATTTGACAATTCACAAAGATATAGAGACGTCCTTCATATTAAACTCTAAAATGTTTCGTAACTAAATATAGCCATAATTATGCGTTGGCGAGTCTGTTGTCCTTCATGTAAGCATATTCTCATTCTGCAGACGTCCTCCGATGGCCCGGTCTAATAACCGGGTATTTTATAATTAATGTTACATAAAAGCGATGTCTTATGTTTGCCTTATATAATTATGGTACCAGTACAGACTTACAATAATATGACAACAATAAATAAAGTATCAGATGTAATGTTTAGTCTATTTTATTTATATTCTAAAAAAATACATCTCTTTAGAAACAAACCGGAGGCCGCGGTGGCACAATGCGTAAAGGGCTGACTCGCTAACAAGAAGGTCTCGGATTCGCTTCCTCTGGAATTTTCAGGGTGGTTTCCCCATGTCGGTGGTGCAGGACGAAGGAACTGGCAAGTAACTGTGCTTAGTCGTTCGGATAGGACGAAAATCCCCATTTCATTTCATTTCGAAGCAAGCCAGACCGAATTACTTCGATTAATATGTATGTAGTTTTAGCTCCCAAATCGAGACTAATATTGTGAGACATTCCCATTAACGAAAAATAAGTTGAATATAGAAAATAAACTGATTATATTCGAATTTTCATACCAAATAAGTTAAAAATATAAACTGCAGATTTATCTCATACTGTATGTGAGTAATAAAAGCTAAATGCTGAAATTGAAATCCAAGATCTAAATTGATATATTAATTGTCCGATGTCTTCAATTTAGCTAGCTCAGTTTTTCGAAATGAACATGTTTCATTATGTTCGTAGCTTATTAAGAAAAGAATGCGCTGATGAATAAATCCGGATAGAAAGCATCAATCTGTCAGATCTAAAAACAAACACTGTAGCACATTCATAATTGCAGTAGAAAACTTGTTATGCTAAATTATTCGGCGTAACTATAGAATTCTGTCGTAGTCTGCTAAGGTAAACAATGGAAGTCAATTTCAATTTGTTTCTAACATTATCGTGGGTGGAAGTGATGATTAAACATCACGGAACAAAATTATGAAGTGGACGCAAATCGAGAAATTTCATTTCATTCTTCTTCAGTTTATCCCTTGCATGCGAGATAATATTTTTAGTAGCTGAAGTCACAGTCAAATTCCCACTGACGATCTGTGGAAAAAGGTAGGGCATTAGCAGTTTCTCAATTTCACCTTTGTGAAAAGAAAGGGGATATTGAAATGCAAATACCTATTCAGGTTGCGATATGATAAATAGTCATGGCCATTTGGCATGCTTTGAGAGTATGTTTACAGACGCAGAACCTATCGGCCCAACAGGACCACTGAGCTGCATATGCGACACGCAATAGCGCCACACACGTGGGAGGGGTTCATTGTCAAATTTGACACTTCAAGGAAGGGTTGATGAAAACTGCCGCGTGCTGGTTTATCTATCCATGTTTGCTTTCCTATCGGTTCTTGCATAAGATTTACTGTTTAGCATATCTTTCCTTTAGTGTGTTACGTTTAATTTGATCGGTAGACGTGTTCGTGGACGTCAACGTCAACCTACAAGAACTGGCCGTGGTACTTCAAAGGGGTGGGTCAGATTGCCCCAA